CAACTAGGAGATGTACTAGCAGACGCAATGATTCCCTGCAACACAACTAATGCGGTAGTAATTAGTGAAAATGATTTATGATTGACTTTGGAGAATATTATGGGGGCCTGGTCAAGTCGATCTCCTCTTCATCGTCGCCTTTGTCCCGAAAGGAAGAAAGGTTTTAAAAAGTAGTCACGTGTACAATCTGATCGTGCACGCAAGCGAGGTGGCTGACCTGCCAGGAGGAGATTTCTAAAACTCAAAAGCTGATGATGAATGCTATGAGTTCAACCACTGCGTTTGAGGCAATGCCAACGCGGGGTGCACCCACGCACACACTCACATCATCATTATGCCGGTACATGTATATTATGACTGTGCACGTTATATTCAATGGTCGACAGAGTCACACAGCTGCTGTACACAGTACAGCTCAGGGTCCGGACAAGATTTGTCTTTCAGGAGAGAGGATCTGAAATACAGAGATTGTGAATCCTCATTACTTAGTGACTTGGGTTGCTCGACTTGCGGACATCCACATGTACATGTATGTCCCACCAGTCTGTGTAGTTTCACATGAGTGGTAGACTGGTAGTAAGTTTCTAACTCAGAGGAAAGTGTTCGTTATCGTCATGCATTATTGTACTCACGGTTTCGGATAGTTGCCGTGGTTGGCTATGGCCCTTCATTTCACATTCAGTTGTTATTGGCAGCGGTTTGACGAGCTAGGAAATGTTGAAGACAATACAAGAATGATCTCTGCTTGGGAAACCACTGCACCGCAATTGTGAGCATCGCCGGTGTACGCGAAGGTTTCAGGTTCGAGTTCTGGCGGGGATAGTCAGTTTTTGTTTCTCTACACTTTCCCCCCTTAGCAACTCTGGCACACTACAGAATTATACACAGGTTGCTCGCATACATGCCCTTTGAAGCGCCATTGTTTCTTCCAAGACAAGACCACAGCATTGGTGACACAGTTGGATCTTGACCGCAACATGGTAGGGGGTTGCATCGCACCTTTCACCACACAATACCGTCTACCGGCCGGGTGGAGGGAAGCCCTGCGCGAACGTTGGGAAGCAACTAAAACGGGCCAAGGAATGCACAGGGCATACTACTGCGTGAACCGGTTCCAGCTGTGAACTTCCAACTGCGCTAAACTCAGTCAGAGAATTTCCCAAATAAGCCCTGTGCGAGAAAAGAAGAGGCACATGGTAGGCTCTGTCACTGGTCGCGATCCCATAGTGATTGTCCATGTAACTGTTATTGAAATAGGATTGTCGCTTCAGTTTCGTTTGCATTTCCGTGACGGATCCAGCATGTGCTGCTTGAGCTGGTTCCAGCGGTAGTGACAATTCACGGAAAACCAGTGACCGCTGCGTGCGTCTACATGTGGAGGATTGTCGATACGTGGCTGTTGTTACATGGTCCGTGTCGGACTAAGTAAGGATAGTGGCGCATGCAGCTGTAACGGTCGTCACTGTGGGCCAACTAGCTACTTTATTTGCATGTTTTCAATAGGTTCCACGTCTTCAGCGCCGTTCAGGCAACGCGATCAAAAGTTCCCATCTTCCTCAAAATCTGAGTAGAAGGTTCTGTTCATCATGCCACTACACTAAAGTAGCAGTACATCTAGCTACCACTTGTGCACGATGCACCTCGGATCAAACCATGCATAGCCTAGGCATAGGCTTACACACAAAACCACATGTACATGTACACATTCAAGGATCAGTCGGGGAAGTGAACCGCCTGAAATTTGAGAAACCAATACCAGACCCACCAGAACTCGAACCGGGGGGATGTCAGTTTTTAAAGTTTAAAATCACAGAGTCCTGAGCATGAGGTAGCCATTATTATGCAAAATGATCTTGTATTCCGACACTTCACTCGCACAGCCTACCTGACAGCCTAGCGCTACATGCATTTCAATCTACTAGAAGTACTGAAGTGACGTTTAATATTAGTTTTGATAAACATGTAATTCAAATGTACTTCTGATGTTCGAATTCCTCTCTTGTCCCTCGTCAACACTAACAAAAGGCCACAGCTGTGAACAGGATGTGTCCGTTCTGATTTCGTACTCAGACGAGATCAGCACCGGCTTGATCGATTACAACACGCTCATAAACTCCGGCCTGGCCCACTGTTATGCGCCCAGCCCGAAGACTCAGGAGCCATGGATAATAGTCCGATGATTCCCTGCAAGATCGCAAACAGTGCTTGTGCCGAGTAGTGGAATACGAGACACCAGGGAACAGGACACACGTCGATTATTGTGGTTTGATTCCTGGACGCGTCCTGCTCCATCTAACACGAGTTTCCGAGTAGATTGGTTGGAGAAGAATAGGGCAGCTTCTGTTGTCGCCTGTCTAGGGTGATCTGAACATACGGCGTTAGATTGAGGGCACTTGGATACCACTCGAGTTGATTCACAGAAGCAGCAGGTGGGCCTGAAACAGCGTTGATGGATTACTACCATTTTAGACCCTGGCCAAAATTTTCTCGGTGATGCAGCGATTGTATTGATTGCCAGCGACGCTGCGTTCAGCACTGTGCCACATGGGGCGGAAAGACTGGAAGGCTGAGCGTTTCAGAGCAGTGCCAAGTAACTACACAGTCACCTGATCATAGTACAATACTATAGATGTGCTTGTTCACTCAGTGGTGCGAATCACCCTGACCATTGGGCTTTGTATATTTACACGGCCGCCCACTGGAGACCTTGTGATGCCTAGCGCCCTTGATCTTTGTGGCACAGTTTCGAGAAGAGTTTGTATTAAAATAGCTATGACACATCACTGGTTATCATCAGGTTCGTGCGATTGTGGCCTTGATTCATCACACAGTGGCTAGTCTAGGAGCAGGGAGGCATCAATATATGAACTCATACTACGCTGTCGACATCTGTCCTGAACGCTGGACTGGCGGCTGAGAGTGGAGTCAGAACTTCTGACGCCTCGCACTGTCGTCCACGATTCCGTCGTGTGAATCCATCGGCACAATCCTGCGATGTGTGTACTACATGTGATTGAAGTCACCCCTGCGTAGATACGAGGTGAATGATATTCATGCATGTATAATCTCTGTTGGACTGAGAACAAGTAGGTGTAAAAATGGGCTCAAGCCAGGGGCGTGAGTCACCCATGCTGCGAAGATCTGCAGCGGTCACCACTCCTGTCAACACCTTCTCAGCTTGGCGCTGATCGTGAATTCAAAACGCCACCGCCACAACATAAAATGTACTGAAGTATCGAGCCATTATAATGGTATTGAATGATGGATTTTTTTGTATTTGCCACCCTGCCCTAACAGCTTCGCAGCGGTGATGTTGAGTGATGAGGGTGCGAGCAATGAATTCGATTGTGCGAGGGAGTGTGAAGATGGCGGCGAAGCAGCGAAAGCACCCCGTGACGTCTAGCAAGAACCCCTCCACCTTACAAAGCACTGCAGGGCAACACTGACCGTGAGCGTACGAGCAGCTAACACGAACAGGTGCTGGTGTTGCCGTGTACTGTGTGGAGTGTTAGGTTGGGAGGTGGAGGTGTTGGCCCCAGACCGGCCGGTCCAGCCGACGCGTCTCCAATGCCCTGTGTCTGTAGCATGCTTGACAAGTGATGGACGAAGTATCACACTCTTGCACTCTCACACATCAGTGTTTAGTAGTCGACACAGTCATTATTGCTTCGGAAGTCTTGAAAAGCTTAATGGAACCATTGTATAATACATCGTGTTGACTCAGTGCAGGTCTGCGTGAACCTAATGAAGCAATCGAGGTGCGAGTACTAGTAGTATAGTAGCACTGACTTCAAAGGGAAGGTAAAGGTGGTGATTTGAAACCTGTAAGCACAGCTGAGATCTCAGGGGAATGCAGTGCCTAGGACTCAGTGCAGTAGTCAGTACGATAGTGCAGTGATGATGCATACAGGATTCTTCTGCTTGGACATAGCGGAGCTACGGAGGAGTGCTATTCCACGACTACCATTTACCATGATCATGAATGCACGCATGAGTATGTCATTGGACTGACAGCAGTAGTAGTGCTGTCAATACGACAATAGCCAGCGGCCTTTCAGTGTGGCTGAACTGTAGTGGAGTAGACTACATTGTACAAGTACAAGCATTGGTACATTGTACATGTACGTGATGGTATGCAGGTTTGCGTCCCGGAGTTCGAATGCCAGCTTTCCTGGCTGTACGCTGCGTCCCACCGTCTCGTCCGAGAAAACAGCAGAGACCTGTCGTGTCGTCACCGCAAGCATACTGCTCAAACGTGCGACCAAGACCTTGGCAGGAGCTCACGAGGCGCCGCAGAATGGAGCTGCCATACGGAGCAAGAGTCTTCAGTGCTGTCATATTTTTGTCAAGCAAGTTGTGGTTCTGAGTGTGCACAACAGAATGAGGATTTCTAGACGGGCCAAGTACAATACCTGTCCAGGGTCTACAGTACGTAACGGACACGGTCCTTTTCTGGATACGAATGCTGGAGTTCAGTGAAAGTGACAGTGACGTAGAGAGTGACAGCAATACATGTCAGCTACTCCAGCAGTACAATCATGTAATACACCTTCAATACAATAGTCTTCATCATGTCCACTGTCGCTGAGTCTGTGTCACGTTGACTGGTGGTTGTATGCTGCGTGCAGGCAATGGCTATGCGCACAGTGTGCCATGACCAGTCCGAAAATGGAGGTATATCGTGCCAGTGACTGTGCGTCTGAAGTCTAGGCCTGACGGAGTGACGCCGCGAGTTGGCGTGACGAGGTATGCGCGCGCAGTGGATCAACATACACTTGAAGGTGTCTGCGTGCGACGTCGGCCAAGCAGTCGACCTGGCACGCGACGAGCTGGCGCGGACCATCAATACGCACGAGGCCAAGGAGTCAACGTTACGATCTTAGACTAAAGAGGTGAGATTCGAGTACGAACACACACACACACGTGCACAATACTCAATCGTCTCTATACTATAGACTATACCCTGGCACTGGCAGTGCGCCTGCCAAGGATACACTAGTCACTACTCACTAGTCTACACAATGCCGTAGAGTCTCGCATTGCCAAGGCCAGTCGTCGCTCGCCGGCGCCACCCGCCCATCTGCCAGCGAGAGGGCCCGGAAATCTTCTCCGGCGACAGTTGTACTGCAAATTTCTCTCTCGGTGTTATTCTCGTCGCGTCATAATTTCTGGGGCAAAGATTGAGTGAAGCCTATCGGAGCCTACGTGCGATGAAACGAAAAGCGGAGCAGAGGACATGTGCCATTTCATTAGTTCCCCCCGCAGCATGCATGAACGGGGAAATGCCGCTCAACGAAGTGCACAAATTCCACGCCACCGCTTGGGTCGAGCTCAGAACCGCTTCTGCAGTGCTACCATTCACATACTCTCGAATAAATCGCCCTTTTTGCCTGACCCCGTTGCCGCTTCTATTCAGCATCGAGTTCTTCTGTTGCCTCTGATTTTCACCTCGTTTCAGCCCATCAAGACAAACTTGTACACACTCCCTGCGGCGCAGAACCTCGATTCATAGTCCGCGTGATTTTGGTCTTTAGAACTGCGAGTCTGGTTCGTGTTATGTTCTCAATGGGTGAGACGGATTTACAGGCACGATCTCCCATGGACGAAATGAGGAGCTCAAATGGTTTGCCTCAAGGCCAAAACGCAGCCAGTGTTAGCAACAGGAGTTCACCATCCACCGAGGAAAGTAACGCAGCCCACGTTCCAGACAGCGAACTCGACTGGTTCTTCCCCGAGGGCACCGATATGGACGATTTCGACGAATCCGGAGCGTCGGCGCGCGCCCTGCAAGGCATGTCGGATGACGATGTGCGCACCATCATCGCATCGGAGAACTTACGAGAGCGAGGACTCACCAATACAAAGAGCAAGACGCGAATCTCCGACAAGGATATGCGGCAGGCACGCCGTTTGCTGACGAACAAGCGAGAGCGCTGGAGACAACAGCTGGTCAACGAGGCATCGACGAACCTGCGCCAACTCATTCCGACCTTTCCGCCGGAGAAGAAACTGTCAAAGCACGACGTTCTGCGCTTCAGCGCCCGTTACATTGTCTATTTGCAACACCAACTGAACGAGATGTTGGAAAAGCAGCAGATTCAGGCGGGCGAGCATCCATCCGTGGCCAAGAAGAATGCACTGGCAACGCGTGAACATCAGGATTGGCAGTTCGCCAGCATGTACAACCACCTACCGCTAAACAGTGTGAACGCCGCTACCATGATGACTGCAACCACCGCCTACGGACGCGCCGCCAGCTCCCTGCTACGCGAGACGCGCAGCACGTTCACTCGCACCTACGCCGCGCCGAGCAGCGGCGCCACGCCATCGTCGTCACCTTCATCGCCGCCTCCCGCACAGCCGCCGTTCGCGCCTGGCACTGCACAGCAGCACGTCCAGGCGAGGAGCAATCGGACCACCCCGCCGCACACGAGCATGGCGGGGGGATTTCCCGGACCGCAGGGGATCGCCACCATACCGACCCCCGTTCTGCTGTCCGCTGGCGGCAATGCTGGCAGCAACGGATCAGTAGCTGGCACATCTGGGAAAGCGGCAGCTGGAAACAGCGACGCAGAGGTGAGTAGATTGTTCTCAAGTAGGTGAACAAGCAGCCAAAATAGCAAGATGTGTCCTTAGTTGTTGGGGCAAGCTTGAAAACGACTGCATCTGTTTTAGCAACTGCCTGATTCCACTAGGATGTCATCAATTATGTCAAGTGCAATGCAACTAGGATTCTACTCAGTGACATGTCGACAGTCTGGCAGTGACTGCCTGATTGGTCTCCAGAGGTTTGCCTGGACTGAGTTGGCTGATGGGGGCATGCTGGATCACTTTCTGAAAACTTGTCATCCACAGAGCAAGCTTGTCCGTTGGGCTAAACGCAATGGGCTGAAGTATACGAGTATGCAGCATGTAGACTAGAAATGATAGCCCCTACATGCATGGATAGCGGTGGAGAGGTTCAGCACGTGAATGCACACACGCTGACCATGTTTTGGCCGATGTTGTGTGCCCAGCAACTTGCTAATGACTGAAAATTTTACTTGCATCCTTCGCAGGATCAAACAATAATTATTATAATTATGTTTGATTGTAGAAAACATATGGTTAACTGGATGATATTTTGCAAGCTGACTTTTGACCTCCTCCATGTTTGCTTTCTTCTATTTTCCTTCATCAGCCTCACACTGGTGCTGGTGCAGTCGAGTCTCAAGGCTTCGCCCCGGCTGCCATGGAAACAAGCTGGGCGCCTGGCAAACCGCCCGGTGTTCTCCCGATCGGCAGCGTCGGCGGTGGCAGTGCAGCGGAGTTTGCGGCGCTCGGAGGCGGCCATCATGCACACCACCACCATGCGGCGGCAGTGGCGCACAGGGGATTTCCCGGCTCTTCCCCGGTGTTCAGCCAGGCCATGGTGCCCGCTGGACTGCACTGGTCCTGAGCGGCAACTGAGCAGCACTATGACTGCATCTATCCATTGAACTGTGCAACACTGTGACTACATCTATCCATAAAACTGAGCAACAGTAGTACATGCTCAGACACACTTTATTTCACCACTCTCTATTTGATTTCTACAATCCTATTTAATTTAAAAATGGCATTCAATGATGAGAACCGCAAACATATGTCCCCACAAATTTCCCCTGGTGAAATGCTTGAGACTTGGAATTGAATTTCTCAATTTTCCTAATGAAGTGGACTGACACGGCTGTATCCGTGTCTCCACATGCCAGTATGAGATAAGACTTAGTGTATTTCGATTGCAGAGAGTGTGTATCTTTGATGGCGACGAGTCGCCTCTCAAGCTGACCAGATGCTGGGCATTGGCTGTTGTGGTGCAAGTGAGTGGACATGAGGGCATGTGTCAACGTGTTCTGCATACGCTGAGATGATGATATCGACACATCAAGTACATCTACATGCACATGTACACGCACAGCCATGCACATGCACATGTTTTTGCTCTGTGTGGGGACAAAGAGGAGGCATGATCTTCGCCAAGGAAGCTCTATGCAAGATTGGAGCTTATTAGAGAGATTATCAGTCAGTCTCATAGACTTGCATGCAGGTACTCAAGTTTGTCCAAGGCCAGTGGCATGGAGCACTGCATGGAGCACTGCGCCATGATACAACAACTGGTGTTTAGTAGTGTTCAAGTCACCAGTACCACCGGCCACGCAGTGCAATTTCATACTTCTAAACCCAACACCTTGTGCCACGAACAGGGCAGCATGGGTACACATTATGTTAAAGCGGAATTCACGTAATTGTCCGCCACGATAGTTTGCAGCCTTATGGTGTTGCCCAACGATACAGTACAATCATGCCCATACTGCAATACATGTAGCCTTAAGCCCTTGAGCAATCCAGAAAACAAGAAAAGACAAAATATGGGTATGTGATGCCAGCTTGTGGCAAGCGTTGCCCAATGGGAAAAGCAAAGGAGCAGGCTTGGAAACATCATTCCTTTATCTTGGAAGTAGAACACTCAACCCAATCTCTGCAAGCCTAAGATGATTATTTTTTGGGTCCGGGAGGGGGGGGGGGGGGGAGCCAACAGAAGGCAACCGGGTTTTCGCATGCTCTTTTATGCTTTTCGGGACGATCATGTATTTCTATCTGCACAAAAAAGTGCACATGTGTGTGTGTGTGTGTGTGTGTGTGTGTGTGTGTGTGTGTGTGTGTGTGTGTGTGTGTACATGCATGCATGTGTGTACACGTGTGTGTATGTGTGTAGGCGTGTGCATGTGCGAACACAGTTTACAGGCGTGCATTCCGAGGCTAGTTCTGACAAAGTTCCTCCACATGCAGTGACGGTGTGATCCCTGCACTGCCTTGGTAGTAGCCTTCGTAAGGTGTCGTACCCGTGCAGTCACCCCGGGCAACGGTCGACAGGGTCATCTCACCGGCAGTGTTGATGTTGCATATTCCGCTGACTATCCCGGGACTGAAATCAGTCGTGCGTGCCGTGCCACCGACTCCGTTACTGATCGGTCCGGGATCCGAGCACTCCTCACCATTTATGAGCACGGAAATCCTCGCGCAACGCCAGTTAGAGTACCTGTAGCCCTGTACGGCAAACCCGAATGTTGATGTGTATACAACACGGAGGGCTGTGTCGTTGCGAGTCTTGACAAAGGTCAGGTTACCCATGCTCTGAGACGTGCGACTAACCTTCTCCGGCGTGAATGTCTTCCACGAATGATCCCACACTGCACAGAGGAAACAACAGAGAGAGAGAGAGAGAGAGTGAGAGTGTGTGTGTGTGTGAGAGAGAGAAGAGAGAGAGAGAGAGAGAGAGAGAGAGAGAGAGAGAGAGAGAGAGAGAGAGAGAGAGAGAGAGAGACGGAGCGAGAGAGGCGGGATAGAGAGAGAGAGAGAGAGAGAGAGAGAGAGAGAGAGCGAGAGAGAGAGAGAGAGAGAGAGAGAGAGAGAGAGCGAGAAGAGAGAGAGAGAGAGCGAGAGAGAGCGAGAGAGAGAGAGGAGAGAGCGAGAGAGAGAGAGCGCGGATAGAGAGAGAGAGAGAGAGAGAGAGAGAGAGAGAGAGAGAGAGAGAGGGAGTGAGAGAGAAAGAGAGTGAGAGATAGATAGATGGATGGATAGATAGATAGATAGATAGATAGATAGATAGAGAGAGAGAGAGAGAGAGAGAGAGAGAGAGAGAGAGAGAGAGAGAGAGAGAGAGAGAGAGAGAGAGGGAGAGAGAGAGAGAGAGAAGAGAGAGAGAGAGAGAAAGAGGGGAGAGAGAGAGAGAGAGAGAGAGAGAGAGAGAGAGAGAGTGAGAGAGAAGAGAGGGAGAGAGAGAGAGAGACAGAGACAGAGAGAGAGAGAGAGGGAAGAGAGAGAAGTGAAGGGAGGAGGCCTAGCTAAATCATATGATGTAATCTGAGCCCAGCAGGATACATTTGAAAATACAGCACACCATTCCATGTTACATGAAATATTTTGGGCACATAACCCTCAAACTTTGATACGTGTATTGTCACCATCCATCCATCCAGCCATCCAGTCAGTCAGTCAGCCAGTCAGTCAGTCAGTCAGTCAGTCAGTCAGTCAGTCAGCTGCTGCTGCTGGGCTGCACAATCTACCTTAGATGCCTCCTCTTTGCGGACTTCAGCAATTTCTCCGGATAGCTGCAGAACAGAGAGCAAGAAGGGTAAAGAACTTTATTGGCGCCGTCTAGCCTGATATGCTTGCAACAATTTTTGAGACTTTTTTAGACCAAATAGTGCCACGGTGCGCACACAGAAGAATATGATTGCATGAGTCATTAGCATCGCCTGTTTAGACTTCACCAAAGGAGGGTGAGGACCGGACTGAAGGGGTGATGTGTGAGAGAGGGGGGGGGGGGTACAACTGAATCTCTCCAACTTACTTCGGTAGAGCAGCTGCCGCACTCCCTTCACCCTACATGTATATTCTAGGGCTGAAACAATTATGCCGATAACTCGCATATCGATCGTTCAGCGTGCAATCGATAATCGTTAGTGTTCAAAACGAGTGCTAATGCATTTTAATGCATGCATATCAGTGACAGTATTCTAGCCCTTGCACTCCATCTGACAGTGAATACGAGTACAATCATGTACATGTACTTGCAAGCACAGTAAAAATGATTTGTGGCTTTGAAAGAGATCGGGAGAGAAGGCATTGTCTTTTTGGTTCATGTGTGGGAGAAGTCGGAGAGATGAGAACAGTTGCCAGAGGGTGATGACAAGATTCTTCGCTCTACAAACAATATGAAATTCTCTAGTTGTTGATGTCACAGTAGTAAAAACCCGCCAGATACCCGCCAGATGTCAACAGTGCGGTGCCACGGATTTCTTTCTAACGTAGCAAAGGCATTATGGACTTGAATTTCTCCCATCTATTCGAGGTACACGAGTACAGTCGACAGGAATCAATAAAAAAAATAATTATATCGATCATTAAAATGATACTGGTTGATCGTTAGGAGTTATTGAATGATCGCTTCAGCCCTTGTATATTCCCAAGCGAACTCGAGCAATAAGACAGGAATTTGTGTGGACATCTGTCTATGAAATTGTTACTTTGTTCTCATTCAGGTGCGGAGAAGATGAATCTCTCGCAACCAGCAGTCTTCTGGATCCCAAATCAAATTTCATTGCCCCCCCCCCCCCCCCAAGGGGCTGCGATACCGCATTTGACCCTTATTGCCAGTCAAAAGTTCACTGCAGGCCCACACTAGACTGGGAATCAGAGCCAAACGATGTATCGCAATCTCCACGCACCAAGACCATTGCCGAAAATAGACAAACTGCGGCGAGATGCAGCGATTACCTTGGCCGTGGCGTCCTTCAGATCTTGGGAAAGCTTGTCGACTTTCTCCTCCCGCCGCACAAAGATCGACGCCAGTAGTTTCATGTCATCAACCAAATGGCCGATCTGCTGATCGCGCTGCATAAGGCGCATCTCTAGCTTCTTGTGGTTTGCTTTGATATTCTCGACTTGTTGACACAGGGCATGGTTCTCACTTCTGATGCATGGATCGGCTTAGCAAACACAACAAATTCAGGATATCAAAGAAATCAATGAACTGCAGAAACACACATACATGTCACTACTGCTACATTCACATACACCACATACACACACACATACACAGTTACACACACACACACTCTCTCTCTCTCTCATAGAAAAACACATGCACATGTGCACCCACACACACAAACACATGTACACACAACCCTCTCCCCTCACACACATGCTCACTCATAGATGTGAAGATAGATGCAGGGATAGGTCTGAGGACAAGGTGGGGGGGGGGGGGGGGGCATGAATCAGTGACGCTATGTTGGCTATGGAGTATGTATCATCACTTACCCTCCCATCACCACCACCATGAACTGTACAGTGTAAATTTTTTCCATCACTAATATACATGGATATGGCAAATGGGATTTCGGCCTTTGGCCTCTGGTTGGTGGATCTGATCTATCCTCCCCCACCGTTTAGGAGCCGCATCTGACGCCTGATCATGGGGTGGTGGCGTCCCACGGAAGCGGAAAGGTGGTTCTTGACCCGCCCTGTACGGGGACCCGTGCAATTAAAAAAAAGGCAAGCTGATCACTTACTTTCACAAGTCCTCCCATCTCCAACATAGCCTGACGCACAAGTACATTGGTATGAACCTATTGTGTTGTTACAGTACGCGTGTGCTTTATCACAGTCAGCAGTGCCTCTAGAACATTCGTCCAGATCTGGAAACACATACAATGGTAAAAAATACGTCACATAGCATTGAACGTTCGGACATGCCGGACCAAAATCCCTTTCCAGTCAAATTTGACTAGGTTTTGAGTCAAATCCGGTGTAAATCAGGCTTGGACAGTCCATATCTCAATAATCCGTGAATGGACTGAATACGTCATTAGTCACAGGTAAATTCAGTTCCTCCGTGGCCCATGTCTGCTATGCTCTCTCCCAGTCGATCAACACACTCTCCTTCTGGCTCTCACACACTTATACAACGAAGGATCAGAAAGGAAATTGGATACCATGTACTGATAGTCAGTCCTTCACACAACCTGTTGTATAACGACTACACCATGGCTCAGTGGTAGAGCACCGCTGGCAATGAGCGAGGGTCCCTGGTTCAAGACCTGGTGGTGACAGTCAAATCTTGTTCTACCCACTTTTCACATTTGCAAGTTTCCCTCAAGCTAATGAAACCTGTTGTATGTGTACACATGTACAACAATGTGTGGTGAGGGCTGTCGGCGAAACCTATCCGCGTTCGTGGTCCCCCACTGGCTGAGTCAGACCCACCTTGGCAGCTTCTCCCGTTTCCGCGGTAGCCGTCTCGGCACTCGCAGGCGTACGAGCCGATGGAGTTGAAGCAGGTGGCGACATCGTCGTCAGCGCAATCGTTCAGAGCCGCTGACGAGCACTCGTCAATATCTGCAGGCAAGCGACAAGTTCGGGAATAGGTCAACATATACAGTGCTGCTCAAGGAAATGCGATTGAGTCACTCAAGTGCGCGCCGGGCGCTGTGCAGTCCTAGCCCTGCTAACACTGCTAACACTGGGCTGAAATAGGGTGCACGGCACCAACTAAGACTCACGCGATCAGATTTCATTTGGCAGCACTGTAGCCTTGTAGGTGAAGCACCTCTCTGTAGCATGCATAGCAGCAGAACCAGCAGGCCAAACCAGCCATTCAAAACTTTCTCGCACGTGATCCCAAAAAGCAGACGTTGGTCCAACCTTGAAAAACCTGTATACTATTTATCGTATTTAGATCTTGTGAAAACAAACAAAAACTACGTGCTGCTAAGCGAGGTCAGCCTGCTAGTCACTATAAAAAATTAAAAAACAACTATGATTGCAGCATTGCTCGGTGAAACTTACCTACGCATTCCTCTCCAGTGCGTCCCGGCGGGCAAACACACATGGCTTTTCCGACGGTGACATTGAACGTGCACCTGCCCCTCTCCTTGCACGGCAGCTGCAGGGCATTGCTGGCGGCCGGGCACTCGGGCTGACGACCTTCGTACACAGACACACGAACAGCATACGCACCGTACTTCAGAGTGGGTTTCAACACCAGTAACTACTGTTCTTTACAGTACACGTGCAGCTAACAGCTAAAAGCAGAACCTACGGCAGCACAAGGCGATGTCTGCGCCACGCCTACATGTTATAGAGGATTGCACAGCTGGATGAAGCTGATCAAAACTGAGCGGACTCCTGGACTCTGTATAGTGGATGTTGGACCAATGGACTCTATAATAGGGCACTGGACATCATAATTATAGTGCATGGACTTTATACTGAGTCCAATATATTCACGCTGTACTTCAATACACTGTACACTCATGCTTCATTATGAGTCATGTCTAAATGCAAGACTCTACCGTGGATGTTTGAGCATAATTTGCTGTACATTGTACCAGGTGCAATGCTATTTAACGCCCAACCATCAAATGGGATTGTATTTTGTATACCCCCTCCACATCCCCTTCCCATTCTCATAATGTTACAGCCCAGACAGTATGATTTAGAGGTACTGGTACAATCATGTACAGTCAAATCTGTCGTAAGCGACCGCCCCTTGGTGCAAGAAAAAGCGGTCGCTTACGGCAGATGTATGGTAAATCCGGCATACCAGGTATATGCTTCCATGTACTCAAATCGACGAGAATAATGTGATTTTTAATATCATTTTATTGGATATTCAACGACGACCATACCCGTATAGTACGCGTATGCGACACGGCAGTAGATCGACACTGCCTGGACTTGAGAGCTACAGCAGAGCCTCAGTACAGGCCAGGCGCCAGTCGACCGCACTTGCAAGACAGCGCATTTTCACACTTTGCAGTTGACAGTGCACTGGCAAGTACAGTTTCGCACCTGACTGAACCTGGGTCGCGGTCGCTTACAGCAGATTTGAATACAGCCACCGTGCATGAAATCGCGGTCGCTGGTCGCGCACAGCAGATGGCCGCTCTGGACAGATCAGTTTGTATGTGAAACCGTCGGTGCTCGGAAAATCGGTCGCTAACGGTAGGTGGTCGCCTACAGCAGAGGTCGCTAACGGCAGATTTGACTGTGCTGCTATGGAATGCGTATGCGAGGAATGCTCGTCAATGCAGCACCGTACACCGTCAATGCAGCACTGTACACAATACTGCTGGCATGGTCCACGTGGCCAAGGCTGTGTGTGTGCTGTGTCTCTTGAGCGTGACATGGAAAACGCTTGGCAACAGCTTTGAGCAGGGTTCGCACAATATAATCAAGAGTATTATAAACTCCCAAGCCGGTGTGACACTCTGGATGCCCCTTCTACAGGGTGCGCCGATGGCAAAATCTTACACCACGTGGTGTGGCGTTTCCGTTGTACCTCCCCACACCGAGTTAAGCCACCAATTAAGTAGTAAAATTAGCACTCACAACAGACTCAGCTTACACGAGTAATCAGCATGATCATGGCAGATATTCGAACTGCATGCACCATGGGCACGCATGGCCTTAAAAAATATTAAAAAGTAAAATATTGTGTCCGTTCCCGAAGGGAACTCCAGGCAGGCACAGTGGGTTGGTCAATGACCATGATTGAGATACTAGAGGTACAGTCAAATCTGTCGTAAGCGACCGCCCCTTGGTGCAAGAAAAAGCGGTCGCTTACGGCAGATGGTCTCTTACGGCAGATGTATGGTAAATCCGGCATACCAGGTATATGCTTCCATGTACTCAAATCGACGAGAATAATGTGATTTTTAATATCATTTTATTGGATATTCAACGACGACCATACCCGTATAGTACGCGTATGCGACACGGCAGTAGATCGACACTGCCTGGACTTGAGAGCTACAGCAGAGCCTCAGTACAGGCCAGGCGCCAGTCGATTGCACTTGCAAGACAGCACATTTTCACACTTTGCAGTTGACAGCGCACTGGCAAGTACAGTTTCGCACCTGACTGAACCTGGGTCGCGGTCGCTTACAGCAGATTTGAATGCAGCCACCGTGCATGAAGTCGCGGTCGCTGGTCGCGCACAGCAGATGGTCGCTCTGGACAGATCAGTTTGTATGTGAAACCGTCGGTGCTCGGAAAATCGGTCGCTAACGGTAGGTGGTCGCCTACAGCAGAGGTCGCTAACGGCAGATTTGACTGTACCTGGTTCAAGTCCTGCCTGGGAGCGGTTTTTCCAGCTGTGCTGCTACCCACAGTCAACTGGGAACTTGTGGTCTTTATTGTATGCAGTAAAACATGTACATGTATATGTACTTGGAACACGTGATGCGAGTTTCGCCACCAGAGACCCCGTATGCACAGTTGAAAACTCTTTGGAGTCTATTAACTCTTGATACAATGTACAGTCACGTGTTCCGTGTGGGCCCTGTACGTTGTTGCATTTCGCATTGCAAGACAGTTATTTTGAAAGTGGAAAAAATGGGTCAAGTGGTACCTGTTTTCCCTACTCCTCCTTCCCCCCCCCCCCCCACTGTTTTGATCTGGGGTTTTCCCTACTCCCCCCCCACTATTTTGATCTGGGTAGAACCCTGCTTGTAAGTAACATTAAAATTGAGATACTGGTCTGCATTCATGATGTAGCTAGTACGCGGCAATGTTGCAGTTTCCCCAGTACAAAACCTTGAAATAGAAAGGTTAAGATTAGGCATTTCCCAAATCGGCCAGCCGAAAAATTTGCCAAAAACAGTGGGTTTGAAGAAATCACCGATCTTTTCGCCGACTATGCAATTTTCGCACTGAATTCGCCGAAAATCGATGTTTTGGTGCTTCTACAGCATGCAAATACAATTTCTGTTACCATTATACTGCAAAAAGTGACTTCAACTTTAGGCATTTCCGAAATCGGTCAACAGGAAAAGAAGCGGAAATCAATGGCTATCAAGAAATCCCCGATAATTGCGCCAAAATTACAAATTTCGTGATGAAATCGCCAACAACAATTGATGTTTCAGTGCCTCTATAGCGTGCATGTACATGTGTGTGTGTATACTGTGAGAGGTGACTTCAAGGACAGTGTACTGCTTTGAACCGAATTCTGACTTTGGGGCTTATAATATGGCCGAATTTGGACATTCTCTCAGCCGATCGAAAAGCCGATTGGGCGAAAAAATGGGGCCGATTTGGGAAATGCCTAGTTAAGATGCACGTTATTTCCGACGTGACGCGCAATTTGACGTCAAATTTGGCGTAAATCACCAAATTTCGACGTGAGCTGCAAGTCACTCGCGTTGCTTTTCGACGCGCGAGCCAAATGACACTAGCTGAACTTTCGCGTCACATCAGAAATACTGTGCCTCTTAGCCTCTCTAATAGCCATGCATGTTTGTTATTGTTTGTTTATCTAGAGTCGAAGAACAAACAGGCAAATTTGCCTAATTACATGATATCGACTAAAAAGGAGAATATAGTATAAAAGGCCAGTGAAGGTAATGATACTGAATAGATGTTTCAGCTGTGTATCTGCAGCCCACTGTGAACATGGTGAACCCGAATGGAGGGAGGAAGGGAGGGGGGGGGGGGGGGCGTCTCTGAAATGAACTATCAAGCATTTTGTTTGTCCATTCTGTAACAGTTTTCCCATGTTCGCTATAACTTTACACTCCCTCGCACCGCATGCATCTTACGCCTGTCTATTAGCACCTTCATTGGCGCCATTGCCACATGTATACTATCACCTTTTGCATATAACTGGTCGAGGCACGCTCAACCGGGTCTCTTACTTTTCAAGTTTGAATAACCTGTTACACTGGTAGCAGAGGATGGCTACTACTCTGCTTTTGGCAGGTGTTCTGGTCGTACTCGTCGTTTGGCTGATAAACGAGATCAAGACCGCTTAGCGCGTTAGCCAAGGAAACCGAACGATTCATCCGAACTCGGAACCGTGGGAGCCAACAGCAACAGCCTTACGAAAGAGCCGCCTGTGTCTGGAGGAGATTCAGCTACATTCAAAGAATGGACGTTTGCAATGGACATGGCCCTAAGGTCGTTGGCACTCCCAAATGCGGCACAGAGGGTCGACTACGTGGCAGGATTTTTGACTGGAAACGCTCGTCTTTGGTTGATACCGGCATTGGAAGCTAACCAAGTGTTTTCCGACTGGCCTGCTCTGAAAGCGGCACTTGGCGACGTGTACAGACCATGGCACAACGAGGAAACATCGCGTATGGGACTAATTTCCGCAGCGCAGCACGGGTCGCTGGACGCATACATTGCTGCTTTAACTCGCCTCAGCCTGCAAGTGCCGGAAATCGACCACCACGCCAGAGCGCTGCTGTTCGTCAGGGGGTCTAGTGCCTCACATCCAGCGACAGGTCATGCGTGAGCATCCGCGTACCCTGGAGCAAGCTGTCATGGCAGCAAACGCCGTGGAGCAGTCGTCAGGGCCACTGGCGTCGGGGCCACCAGCCAGTAGAGAGTCGCGTCCCGTGCCCAGCTTCCGTGGCCAGGGCCTCCGCAAGCTGATGGACCAAGAGCGTGTCCAACTGCAAGCAATGGGACACTGCTTTGCTTGCAGGAAGCCAGGCCACCTCGCTAAAGACTGTTCTGAGGGTGGACAGCGCTACCCAAACGCTGGTCGCCAGTAAGAAAGGGGGTGCGCTTACTGGCGACGACCCAAGCACCCACGCCATTACCAGTGGCTAACCGGTTCGGAGCTCTGGATCTTGCTCCCATTATCAGGAGACTGAAAACTTCAAGCCATGACAATCTGCATGACCGTTATCTTCTAAATGAAACACCCGGTTATCTTTATCTCAGATCTTCATCACAGAATCGGTTATGCATTCCAAAGAGTAGCAAACTCCAACTCGCCCTGCTTCAAGAATACCATGACAGTGTGACTGCGGGGCATCCCGGTCGAGATCGCACCTATTTCAGACTCTCTAGATATTTCTATTGGCCCAGAATCGGACTGGATGTAAAGCCGTTTGTCAAGTCATGTGACGTCTGCCAACGAGTTAAAGGCGGTCAGCTAAAAACTGGTCTCTTGCAGAATTTACTAGTGCCCAGTTAGCCGTGGGTGGATATCTCGATGAATTTTAACATGGGTTTGCCTAGGACCGATACAGGTCATGATGCTATATATGTATTTGTAGACCGCTTGACAAAGTGTGTACATTTAGCACCTGCTTCCTCTACTATTGACGCTAAAGGAAGTGCTGATCTGTATATTCAACATGTATTTCGACTGCATGGTTTGAGTTCTAGTACTGTATGTGATCGTGATCCAAGATTTACTGCAGCATTTTTTCAGGAATTGTTTGATCGCTTAGGAACGAAACTAGCATTTAGTACTGCCAATCACCCTCAGACAGATGGCCTAACTGAACGAGTAAACAGAATAGTAGAGGATGTGCTGAGGGCTTTTGTAAATCATAAGCAAGATAACTGGGATATGCTCCTACCTCTCTGTGAGTTTTCTATCAACAGTGCTACTCAATTATCTACAGGAAACATGCCGTTCTTCTTAAATTATGGTCTACATCCCAGAGCACCGCCCGACTTCCTCAACCCTATTAAGGGAGGCAGAGATTCAGCTGATTGGTCGCAAGACAAGACGCGGTCAAGATCTCACAAGATACGCTAGTGGCAGCTCAAGCTCGTCAGGCCTTCTATGCAGATCGGACAAGGGTCGAGGGAAAGCTGAAGGTGGGAGATTTGGTAATGGTCTCCCGGGATTTCCTCCCGACTCCTGAAGCTCGGGACCGACCATCCCATAAATTACGCCCCAAGTGGTTTGGCCCCTTTCTTATAACCCAGATGGTCGGCCCGAATGCCTACAAACTCAAGTTGCCTCATACCAGCCGCTGTCACCGAGTATTTAATGTGTCGGCACTCCGTGCCTACGAGAAGAACGCTATTCCTAATAGGAGACAGCTTACGCCTCCGCCTATCACGGACCTTGATGGTCATACCCGCTACGTGGTGGAGAACATTCTCAGTCACCGCCGCTGGCAGAATCAGCTTCAGTACCTAGTCAAGTGGCAAGGCTACTCTGATGCCACTTGGGAGCCTGAACATTATTTGTGGGATGAATCTGGTAAGGACATTGTTCCACTTCAGAAGTACAAAACCTTGGCTTCTGCCCGCTGAGTTTTGCAGTTGAACTTCTAGTTTTCACCTTACACATTTTTTGAGCTTATTACACTTATTTTTAATTGTATGGAGTTTCAATCCATACATCCTGTACACACACCGTGTACACACTCTCTCTAACGGTCTCTAGGCTACACTGCAATTGATATACATTAGATCAAATTTTCGGGCAAGGCCCATCATCAGGAATACAAGTAAGTCTTATTCCTGATGATGGGCCTTGCCCGAAAATTTGAGCTAATGTATATCAATTGCAGTGTAGCCTAGAGACCGTTAGAAAGAGTGTGTACAAGGTGTGTGTACAGGATGTATGGATTCAAGTATTGGCTACAGTGGAGTCTCCAAACCTTGAGAAAAATGCATGGAGTTTCAGTCGTCTTATTGTGTTACTTCAGTGCGAAGCCTTTTTTTCGTCTCGCACGTGTTTGCGCTTATTGTACTCTATTCCACTTGAGCATTTGGGTTGTAAGATCCTTCCTCTCCATAGTAGGGGGATGATGTAACAGTTTTCCCCTGTTCGCTATAACTTTACACTCCCTCGCACCTCATGCATCTTACGCCTGTCTATTTATTAGCACCTTCATTGGCGCCATTGCCACATGTATACTATCACCGTTTGCATATAACTGGTTGAGGCACGCTCAACCAGGTCTCTTACTTTTCAAGTTCGATTAAACCTGTTACATTCGATTCAGGTATACAAAAATGGTAATCATTGTCAATGTGCGAGCAGAAAACTCACCGACACATTTCTTGACTTGATCGGCCAGTTCTGGATTGTGACCGAGAATCAAACTGAGGACGAACTTGCGAAACCGCAGTACGCCACTCTCGTCCAGCTTAGCGTCAAGGACAGCCCTCGAGCGAGCAATCCTGGCCGCTTCCGAGGCACTTGAACCGGCTAGTTGTAGCCACTCGCTCATGCAGTTGAACTCCGCTGCATGCGTATGTGCAGGTAGGTTTGGGGAAGTGGAGGTAGCCAAAAAGAAGTACAAAGTGCAGGAGATAAATTATTTCGTAACCATGAGCCCCGGGGCCCCGGTACGGACGAGCGAGCTATACTTCAGCACTGACAGTAGTTGTGCCGATGGAACTTACCCGACTGCGGTGCGTCTATGGCGGATGTCGGTGGGAGGGAGAGGCTGCTAACCGAAGCCAGAGCGCTCAGCGCCGTCGCGAGTACGAGCTGAGGCACCGCCATTGGAAACCCTCTGATCCTCATCTTCAGTTTTCCACTCTCAAAGGGTCTATTGCCGGTAGCGAGGCCGTCACCATATATTTCTACAGGCTAAAAGAACCTTCTTTTCCAATCCTAAAGCACGGCCAACTAAGTTAGTTTCGTTGCCTCCGGGCGAAGCTGATACCGGCAAGCAAATGGTGGATACTACAGTAACACAGTTTAGACTCTAGACTAGTTTAGAGCTCGTAGTCGTAGATCTACTCGTAGCCTAGGTGAGCGCTGACCGAGACTCCCAGTCTGTGTTTTGTGATGGCTGTTGCATGACCAGCGGCAGCGGATCGCACCACGTAGTAGAGTCTACTCTCCAGGGCTGAAGCCTGAAGAGTGAAGTAACACCCACCGTCAGCGCGTGCTGGACACAACCTACCACCTTTCCGTCCGGTTCCCATACTACTTAGCCTAGTATTCTAGGGCCATAGATGATGCTCGCGAGCAGCGCAAACAGATCGACGTAATCAACCCCACTCATCGTCCCCAGCCAGTCTGCCAAATCATCATGATGACAATGTGACAACTGATGCGGGCCGGGGCAGCTGCGGTAATGGTGACAACCAGGGAGTGTTAAATTAAAAGCAGTGCAAGTGCCAAAGCCCCTGCGGCAGGCCATCAGATTGGTTTTTGTAACATGCACGATATTAATTAAATTTTATACCGTACTGGCAATATAAACTACTGGCAATATATGTTGCCGCGTAACGCGTAACGCAGGGCCAGGGGGGGGGGGGTGCGGCGTAACGCGCGACCAGGCTAGTGCGACAAATTTTCGTTGAGTTCGTAACGCGCGTCCGGCGGGGTGCGGCGATCTTTTCATTGCAGTTTGCACTCCAAAAAAAGGCTGAAAACTGTGAAAGCACGTGTACCGCGTGGTGAAAAGTCTCCAGCAGCAGTGATGGCTCGAGCAGCGATGACGACTCCAGCAGCAGCGTTATGAGCGGCTTTATTGACATTGCTCTTCAGATTGGATTTTTTATTTTTTATTACTCCAGCAGCAGTGATGACTAATGATAGCCACGGTGACTTTGTAATAATGTTGTACACTCATTAACTTAAAAAAATATACAGTCTTCTATTGATATCGTTGGCGCCCTTTGCCGTCGGGTTTGTAACAGTTGGATAGCAACTGAATTTCTGTGCCTTCAATGTGGATGAAAAGAAAAGATGATGCGGCAAAAGCAAAAAAATGATGCGGCAATAGCAAAAAAGTGATGCGGCAATAGCAAAAAAAAGGACTGCGGCAATATAGAAACCTGTGTAACGGCTCCTGTGCGACTTTGCATGTAACGCCCTGCGTGCGGCAAACATGTGCCAATGTAACGCTTCATGGCCTCACTGCGGCAACATATATTGCCAGTACGGTATAGCGTTACTCTTGTTTTGACTCAATGATCGGATTTCCGAGTTTGGTCTGGACTGTACTTACTCCCGCAGTCCTAGTGCAAACCAGGGAGTAGTACAGTATTGTACTACTCCCTGGTGCAAACTACACGACTGTACTAAGTACAGTACAGGTCATGGGAAAACTCCAGTACTCAGTAGATCTAGACCAGGGAGTCGTGAAATTAGGACTCCCTGCTCTACCCTGATCTGCTGCTCCATATCCATGGCATGGGTCATATCAAAATACCCTGGCTGACTGTAATATTGATACTAAAGAATCGGTCGGTTTGGTAAACTTATGGCCCAGGGCAGAGTTACGACAGCCGTGCGTATGCTCAGCTCTCGCGGGAAGGAGCAGTCTGTTACGCCGGTTCTTGCTATGGATGATGTGGTGCCCGTGGGTGGCACTGATTGCGTGGTTGGCTATATCCTGCGTCAGAAACACCCTGCGCCTGCTGTGCCTAATCCGGATGTGTTGCTTCCCGGACCACCGGGCCATGTGAATGAAATTTACTATGCCGGTGTTAATATTGACTTGATAAAGAATACAGCCTTGGCGGTCCGTGGATCGGCGGGCCCGTCTGGTTTGGGCTCTGGCGCTTGGCGCAGAATGTGTACGTGCTATAAGGGTGCATCGACCGACTTATGTGATGCCATAGCCATTTTTACGCGTATGATATGTACAGTCCAATTGCCTGAAGGATCTTTGGCACCCTATGTTGCTTGCCGTCTCATTGCGCTTAACAAAAATCCTGGAGTTAGACCTATCGGGGTGGGCGAGGTATTTCGCCGAATTTGTTCAAAGGCAGCCTTGTCTGTAATGAGGTCCGACATTATGGAGTCGTGTGGCGTTGAACAGGCCTGTACCGGGATCCCAACAGGTCTTGAGTCGATGCACCAGGCAATGGAAATTGCTTTTCAGCATGGCGAAACGGAGGCTTTGTTGTTGGTGGATGCCCAGAATGCATTAAAAATAGCCTCAATCGATGCGCCGCCCTTCACAACATTGCCAGGGTGTGCCCTCCACTATCTCAAATAACTACAAATACTTACCAGTCTCCAGCAACGTTGCATGTATCTGGAGGCGGAAGCATCCTGTCTCGTGAGGGAACCACACAGGGTGATCCTTTATCAATGGCAATATACGCTGTTGCATTGACACCTTTGGTCAAATCGTTGCGTGCTTCTGCGGGTAGAGTCTGCCAAGGATGGTATGCGGACGACTCTGCCGCAGCGGGAAAGTTTGGTCCGCTCCGCGTGTGGTATGATAATTTGAAAACTCGTGGTGAAGATTATGGATAGATTATTAATGAAAGTAAAACTCAGTTGCTTGTGAAGCCTGGGCTAGAGGTGCCTGGGCTTGAGGTGGCTGGGCTTGAGGTGGCTGCCAACGAACACTTTGGAGACACGGCTATTGTTGTGAAGACGGATGGTGTTCGTTACCTTGGTGCTGGGCTGAGCACCTCCGCTTTCTGTCGTGATTTTGCAATTCAGCGTGCGGATGAGTGGATGCAAGAGCTGAATGTTCTAAAAGAATTTGCGGCTGTTGAGCTTCATGCGGCCTATGCTGCAATGACACATGGTTTAAGGCACAAATGGACATACTTGTTTCGGGCTATGGATTTGGGTGAGGAGGTACTTGCTCCTGTTGAGACTTGCCTCTCTCAGGTTTTTTTGCCAGTTGTTGTGGGCCAACCCGCAGTGTCTGGCGGTGATCGGAGGGTGTTGAGACTCCCTATTCGGCATGGCGGGATGGCTATCCCGGATTTGGTTGCTTTGTCTGCGCACCAACGACGGCAGTCTCGCCACATTTCGGAGCCCCTGGTGCTGGGTATTGTGGGTGGCTGCGTTGGGACATTGCATGTGCCCTTTCGATCTGTCGCCTCTCCGGGTCACAGGAGTGTAGTGTCCGGGAGTGATCACGTTGCCTCTACTCCTGTGGCAGTGATAGTGGACGCTGTGCGGGAGCGTAAGGCCCAGACCCATGCGCAGCAAAGGAAGGAAGCTGTGGCTGTGGCGAGCGCGGCTGCTGAAATTTTGTGTGATCGGGACAAGAGGCGTATTCTCGAACTATCAGAGAAGGGTGCCTCGTCCTGGCTGGCTGTATTACCTATCAGGAGGCATGGTCTTAGTTTGTCACGAAGAGACTTCCAGGACGCTGTCGCTCTGCGATATGGCTGGCCTTTGCAGTGTACGCCTGAGTCCTGTGTATGTGGACATGAGTTTTCGGTCGAGCACCAACTTTGTTGTAGTCGGGGGGGGGGGGGGGGGGGGTTCCTACCCTACGGCATAATGAAGTTCGTGATCTTCTGGCGGAAGAGCTCACAATGGTTTGTTCCGCGGTTGGTACGGAACCGACGCTTGCACCTCTAGCTGGCGAGCGTTTTCGTTTTGGAACAGCGAACGTTAGTGAGGAGGCCAGACTCAAGTCAAAGTGAGCGCTCGGGGGTTTTGGAGCCGTGGGGAGGAGGCTTTTTTTGATGTAAGGGTTTTTTTGCCCAGATGCCCCTTCCTATCGCTCCAAATCTCTCAGCGCTCTCTACAAGCAACATGAGGATTCTAAGCGCCGTGAGTATGAGGAGAGAGTTGTCAATGTAGAGCGTGGTTCTTTCACCCCTCCACTGCTCCACTGCTCTAGTGTTCGGTACTCATGGTGGTTGTAGTCCGTTGTGCACTGGTTTTTTTTAAACGTCTTTGTCGCTTGCAATGTGAGTCTTCTGGTAGTGACTGTTGTCATGAGTCTGCTGCGTGCCCGTCTATCTTTCTCCTTACTGAGATCCAGTATTCTTTGTATCCGTGGTGCTCGTTCTCGTAGGGGTTTCCCCGTCCAATGTTTTGTGGATAGTTCCGTCGTGGTGGCTGAGTCTTAGGCCTTGACAGATTATGCTAATATTTTCGTGAAATTATGCTTTTCGCATTGCTGAAAAAATTGCAGAATTATGCTATTTTATGCTAAACGTTATCATATTATTAAAGGGGAAGTTAAGGCAAAAATTAAAATTTCACCAGTTGTAGTCTTCGGGGTGCTGAGTCGAATGGTCGTGGTCCGAGGAAGCTGAGACGCTCCCTTCCTACTTGAATCCCAATCGAACTCGCGCACTTCCACCGAAACTGGGTGACTGCGCCCTACTAGATGGGGATTTGTATGCAAAATGTCACTAAAAGCGCCATTTCGTTATTATAAAAGCACGGATGACCGCAATTGGCCCATATGTTGTAGTCTTTTGGACGCTGAGTCGACTGGTTTTGGTCCGAAAAGGCTGCGATGCAGCGTTCCTCCTTTATTCCCAATCGAACATGGTTGAACAAGCGGTCACGTGCTCCTGCGTACGCCAGTCACCTGGCCACCGTGCCCGCAGGGTACAACTTACTAGCCTGTTTGACCTTTTTTGGGTGCACTCCTGTCACTCGAGTTGAACCTTGGTGTGAAATTTGTCGCCTGCTGGCGTGGTGACCAGGTGATTTGGGCACCCAGGAGCACGTGACCGCTTGTTCAACCATGTTCGATTGGGAATAAAGGAGGAACGCTGCATCGCAGCTTTTTCGGACCAAAACCAGTCGACTCAGCGTCCAAAAGACTACAACATATGGGCCAATCGCGGTCATCCGTGCTTTTATAAGAACGAAATGGCGCTTTTAGTGACATTTTGCATACAAATCCCCATCTAGTAGGGCGCAGTCACCCAGTTTCGGTGGAAGTGCGCGAGTTCGATTGGGATTCAAGTAGGAAGGGAGCGTCTCAGCTTTCTCGGACCAAGACCATTCGACTCAGCGCCCCGAAGACTACAACTGGTGAAATTTTAATTTTTGCCTTAACTTCCCCTTTAAGGTGGCAGTCTGGGTTCGCGGCCCGACCGCATGAACACAGCCGTAACTTCCATAATAATTGATGAATTTTGCTCAAATCTTGACCACATACCCAGTGTATTTCACTAAGTCCAATGAAGTATAAATCAAGCTCACACATGGGAATCCGCAGACACAATAGTCAAATCTGCGATTATGCCGTACCACCAATACCTTAGACGCAATATGCAAACGCAGAAAGAAGCTGGGTAGAAACTGAGTGCTCCACAGGATTTCCTTCACATATACCTAGGTGCTAAGTGGAGCGGAATTTTGAAATCATATTCAGAACAAAGTACTCAAGCTGTCAAACAAAAATCATGCAATCGCGCAAAATTTAGGTCCTCGATCAGTAGCACTTTACTCAAAGCTACTAGACAAATATAAAAATCCATGACACTTAGCACCTTGATAAATGCTCACAGTTTCCAAAAATGTATGGTTTATGGGGTCTGTGACTTACAGGTTCTTCGCTACGCTGTCTAAGAGGTACGGGACTCAGTGGAAAATGGAGAAAAAAAGTGCTCTGTGCAAGTACAGATGGAGGTATGTCTGTCCAACTAGAACTTACTAGAACTTAGTCGAAGCCACCAGCTTCATATGTCAAACCTTCTTCCTCTTGCTGCTCATCCTGGATGCCTTTCCTGATCCTCCTTCGCTTCTTTCGTGACCTCTTCCCTTCTTCTGACTTCTTTCTGGCAGCATGTGCCTGTCTCTCACGGTCTAGCAGCTTGATGAGACGTGTCGTATGGTGTCCAGTAGGGAGGCCCATCTCGTCCAGAACGCGTTTCACTGCCACACCTCCATCATTGAACCAGGCCACGGCCAGGTAGACGCACATCTGGACAGTGGGAGCGGATGCAAAGCCTGTCTTTGGACACAACTGCCACACGAGTCCATTGAACGCTTCGTTGCGATTCTGCGTAGCACCCTTCTGGCAGCGCTCGAGCAAACTCCGGTCGGACAACCGAATGTAGACCGGCTTCAGTTCCTTCCATACTGCCTCTGGCAGGATATTGTGGTGGGCGTAGACATCACCACCTGCCTGTTGCTGCTGCCATCTACACCAGCTGTTAATTCCAGGCGGACAATACTGGTGCTGAGGTTTACTGTCGCTGGATGCACGATGCATGAGGGATGCCCATATGGCCCTGGCCATGGCTTGCAAGTCTCCGCTGTTGTTCCGCACAGCCATGCCATAGTAGGCTTGCAGCTTGTCGATCATGGCATCCGTGAGGCGACCACGTCCGCCTATAGTGCGCCCATCAGCAAGCTTCTTGCCCGCAAGGTTTTTCTTCAGCTTTCTTAGGCTGGTACCGATGCGTTTTTGAACGTGGCCGACACATTCCTCCTTGACTACAGGCACCTCGGGCCCATACGGACAAGCGTCACGCACAGCCTTAAAACTCTTGGTATCTCCATCACCAATGTAGGTGGTGTACCTCAGCTTGCGGCTCTCAAAGGACCTGGCCCACAGAGTCTTGGCGGCTGCACTCTCCATGGCAGGAGCTGATACAGTGGTGTTGACTGAGCAATCGTGTTCGGCAATCTGTCGATCATAGTCATCTTTGGTTAGCTCTCCCATCTCTTTTCTAGACGCCAAGTGCGTGCACTTGTGGCAAAACTTTGAAAGCACTTCGCAGTCCACCACTTTGCCGACATCATATGCAATTATAGTGAAGGCTCCGAAGAGCGATGCGAATCCTCGGCGCATCCAGGTACCGTCATAGGAAGCAGCAATATCGCTACCCCCATCTGCTGCGGACACTGCTTTCTCAGCTGCCTCAGTCATGCTACGCTCAGCGACGCTCTTGGACGCGGAATGCAGGCCTTTAGCATGGCTGTAAAATGTCGACCGACTCATAGGTGATGGCATATTCAGTGCACCCGCCAGCTTTACCATTGATTGACGTCCACGGCCAATCAGTCGCATTCCGAATACTGCTCGTCTGTTCACCTCCCAGACCCGATTGAACTTCTTGGACATAAATTCGCTTGCTATGTCGCCGCAGTTAACACAGGAAAGCTCCAGGCATGATGCAAGGCCTCCCCGTTGCGATTCGCTGATCGCGACTGCGCCATTACAGCCACTGCAACAAACTGCAGCTGACAAAAGCTGCTGAAGGCACTCGAGATCAATCAGGCGAAATCCATGCGCCCCTTCCTCACACTCTTCATCCAAGTCACTGTCGGAGGAACTGCTGTCGACTTCACCGCCACTTCCATCACTATCGCTGTTTGAAGACGTGGCTTCAGCTGACACTTCAAGGTCGTCATCAGACAGTGGCAAGTCAGGAATTTGTTTTGCAGGCGAAATTTCACCAGAGGGAGCCTTCGGCGCCTGAGACACTCCATAGAACGTTCTTTTCCTTTTCTTAGATCGTCCGGGCTTTCCCTTGGCTCTAGACTTCCCCATAGTAGCCAACGAAGGGGTTAGCTCCAAGAAACAATTACTCCAAAACAATTACTCCAAAAGTAACTAGTTTCAACAGCAGAGCGATCAGCTGAGATCATGAGAGTCGAAATTTGAATTTTTTTTGAATTTGCGCATGCGCAAAAGTTATCTTGGTTGCCATGGTGACAAAGATCGTGCGCGGCTGTCAGTCTGCAGCGCAGAGGAGTACCAGGAGTCGCTCCAGAAAATTTTAATGAAATCGCTCAAAGATTGACGGTAAAAATCGGAATAGTGTGCAAACCTAAATTTTGTAGAAATTTGCTGATATTTCAGTATTTCAAAAACAATTGTGCAGACTTTGCGCGGCTATATCTCCGGAAGGAAGCACCCGATTACGCTCAAATTTTCAGGATAAACCCTTTGGACCATACACAAGACGCTGCCAGTGAAAAAATACAGAAAATCGAAACTTTGTTTTTTGACCCTCTGAACCCAGACTGCCACCTTAACTGGTTTGAGGGAAAGAGACAAACGGGAAAAGTCTGAAGAAAAAACTGACTGTCACCATCATTATTATGCCGCATTATGCTCACATATGCTGATAATGTATACTGGTTCTGTGCAAAATAGCAGGGGAATTTTTTTGTAGAGGGCTTTGTACTGTAGTAGCAAAAGTTCAAGGGGGTCAACGCACCGTCCGACCTAGCTACGACCGTCACTGATTGTACTTTGTAGTGGACTGGACATGTTATCAAGGGAGTCGTAAACCTACGACTTCCTGGTGCATCTACTGTACTTGTACTAATCGAATTGGGTCTTGTACTTGTAGAACATGCATTATACAACTGTATGGAATTTGATGCGAACAGGCGAATTGTTCCAATTTTATGCGATTCGTATGCAATCTGCCTCGAATTATGCGATTATTCGATTTTGGTAGGGATTATGCGAAAAAGTATGCTAGCATAATCTGTCAAGGCCTACTGAGTCTCGCCTTGTTACGTAATTTTTCTGATCTTCTATACTGTGTTTATTTGTTTATCAAGTTTTTAGTTTTTAGTTTTTTAGTTTTTTAGTTTTCTTGATGAAGTTATTGGTGTTCATATTAATTAGTACAGTGTTTTTTTGTTTTGTTATTGTTTTTCTTCTTTTGAATTGAGTTTATTGATTGAGTATATTTTCAATTATAAAAAAATTGATTTGAAGTTCTTTTTTGGTTTGGGTTTGAAATTCTTTATTTTACACATGCATTTTTCTGATTTCTTCTCTAGTGTATGATTTATTGCATTTTTAAAAACCATTGTGTTAATTCGCCCGTAAAAGGGGCCGGAAAAAAAGAAAGAAAAAAAGAATCGGTCATGCTCCACACACATAATGTCATGACTTGCATGTGTGTGTGTGTGTGTGTGTGTGTGTGTGTGTGTGTGTGTGTGTGTTTGTGTGTGTGTACGTGTGTGTATGTGTGTGTGTGTGTGTGTGTGTGTGTGTGTGTGTGTGTGTGTGTGTGCATGCGCGAATAGACTCGATCTGGCCTGGCTATATGTAGCATGCACTAAGCACAATGACGTAGTCAATCGGTTAGTAACCGTGAGTTACGGGAGCCAACCAATAGCAACAACACGACCGTTGTGTGACAGCAATTCCAGAAATTCTGCACTTTGAGCGGACCAATGACGAGAAAAGCAAAATGAAGTCAGCGCTGTACTGGCACTATAAGTCTACTAGTAAAGACCCCACTGACGGGTTTCCAACCTAATTTCAAGTAGCCTAAAATATCTGCTAAAATATCGAAAAGTCTAAAATATCGAGCAGCCTAATTTCAAGGAATAACTATCAGATCCAGCACATGATAAAATTAATGATAGTCATAATTAGCTATTTCGTAAACAGTTTGAGCGCAGAAATTTGCTATTGAGTGTGCTAAAAACTCTAGACGCAAATCAAGCGAAATAATAATACTATCATGAATGATGTCGGACCAAGACCTTACTATTTACCTGGTCTACAAGTAGATGCCTCAATGATTGGCAAAGTGTTCTGGTCATGAGCATGGGTAACCAGGATACTTTGCCAGTGCCGAACCAGTAGGCAGCAGACAAAAATTGCATGCATCAATAACTAGACCTGAATAGGACTCAAACAGCGATACGCCCAGGAGGGCGAACCATATTCGGGAGGAAAGAACACCAGGGAACGTTTCATGATGATGGCTGTAGAGAGCAAGCGTTTGGCTTTGGCTATCCAAAGGCATGCTAGAAATGGGGAAAAGACTGCATTTTATGTTTCAAGGAACTACACTGAAGTAAAATCAATAGGATTAAATTATAGTAAAGCCAGATTTAGCAATTTAGAGAGAGTGAAGACCAACAGTGTCTTCAGTCTCTCTTGTAAATGCACGAATAGCAACCAATATGCACTCAGGTGCCAGCACCCTCGGTCAGATATTTGCTTCCTCTCCAGGTACCCATTTGTAGAGCAGATCACAGTGTCCTTCCAGTCATTCGATCAAACATTAGCAGGGCACATTAGGTGGACTTGAATGACATCATGATGACATCATGTAAGTGTCAACTCCATACTCTATGACAACGTTGATATAGATAATACTGCTGCCATGTGGGCGTGCAATACCCGCTTCACATGCGAGCGAGATCTGCACAGACTGCTTATGTGGCCGTGTAGTCTATGGAGCTGGCCGAGTAGGCAAAGTCCTGAGTGTCGTCGGCGACCTCGTTCAGCGGAGTCCAGCGCCACCAGCTCTTGGGCTGACCCAGCTGCATGTTGGCGATGTCGTTGTTGCTGAACTGCGTTGCACGGATGCGTGCCTTGCGGATGAGAAAGCAGATGATGAGGATGATGGAGAGGCCAGCCACGCCGGCGCTGATCCCAAGACCGTAATCCAGAGCTCGGTGGTCGGCACTGGCGTCCGAGTTGGGCCCCTCTGCCGTGCAGTGAACGCGCAGAAGGTCATCCGTGCAGGTCTTGACGACGAAGTGCGGACACTGAAGCAGACGCAGCTCTTCGCCACTGCAGTTGAACCTGATGCTCTCGGTGAGCTGCGGCAGGGAGCTGTTCAGCGCTACGGATGACGAAGTACGGGACCTGCCAGGCGAGAGAGCGAGAGCGAGAGAGAGAGAGAGAGAGAGAGAGAGAGAGATAGAGAGAGATAGATAGATAGAGAGAGAGAGACAGAGAGAGAGAGAGAGAGAGACAGAGAGAGAGAGAGACAGAGAGACAGAGAGACAGAGACAGACAGATAGAGAGAGTGGAACGCATGATCCACAAACCGGTAAAGAATTGTCCGAGGGGTGGGGTGGGGAGTATCCCCTGACCAGTTCCTGGCAATGTGACTTATTGATAACATTTCATTTGAAGGTCAATTTTGAAATGTAATATTGTCACCGGGCCGGTCTATTGGTGTGTGCCTGCCTCTATTAACCAGTTACTACTAGTATTGCTTCCAGTGCAGACAGTGTCTAGGTCTGGTCTGGACTGGGAGTTTTTTTAATCAAAATTTGCTGATCAAACTCATACCTACAGAGTACAGAGACCCTGACCAGGAACACAATGACCCTGACCAGGAACACAATGACCCTGACCAGGAACACAATGACCCTGACCAGGAACACAATGACCCTGACCAGGAACACAATGCTCAAAGGGACAGTGGGACCGAGTCATACACACCCAGGTGAATTCCCTTCCGCGGCGAGTCGCAAATCAGCCGCACCCCGGAGTCGCTGCGGTTGTCAATTGTTGCTCTGGTGTTTTGCGAGTCTCTGTGGCCATCGGGACGAATCCCGGGCCGTCACAGTGAATGCAAATAATTATGCCAAAAGGTGCAAATCATACTTCTTTTTTTTGGGTCAACTTCGCTAATAACAACTGCGGATATAACGACAATTCGCGAATAACGACAGAATTTCCATGCCCAGAGCAAAGTCCCATCCCACTGTAATAATATGAGACTTCGGGCATAACGACACTTCGCGAATAAGGACACCTTTTTGATGCCCCGCCGAGTGTCGTTATAAGCAAAGTTGACTGTAGTGCTTTGTGAACCTAAAGGGGAAACTCTATTTCTCACAGTGAATATCAGTATACGGTACACAGTACCATGTATGTAACATACGATGGGTTATAACGGACGATTCGGAGGACCCTGGACTTTGTAATTTTTGTTAGACTAGTTGTTCGACTTTTGATAGACGGCATCTCGGTACAGATGTTCAGGCCCATTGCCGTTCCTTGTACTCAAGTTTCACTGTATCCGTGAACGTACAAGATGAGCTTAGCGTTGTTCATGATTGTGTTTGCAAACGTATCGGGTTATAGTTATGCCTGTACGAGTTCAGGCTACTTGAACTCCAGTATGAAAGTCTGTCCATGTAAACACAACCCAGCCCTATGTGTAGTCCTAAGGTGTGTAACGGCACGATGCATGACATCATGACATGTGAGATAACACAACAGCAAGTGTGAGTCACTAGGAGTGCACAGTAAGACCTGGTGTAAGCGACCTCTGTTTCTAGCGACCACCTGCTCTTAACGACCGTTTTTCCATGCACGGACAGTTCTGTACAGAAACTGCACCGGATACAGCGACCACCTGCCTTGCGCAACAAGCGACCGACTTTTTGTGTACCAAGTGCCATATTGGACCTGCACACAGCGACCCGGCAAAACTAACCAAAAGTGCCATCTTGGCTGGCAGAGTTGACTGCAACAGGATCGAAGTGCACTCTGAAGCAAGTGGATGCAGTCAACTGAAGTGACAAGTGACAGTGCAGAATGCGCTGCATGCACTTCAGTGAGGTGTGCTTTGCCTGCACGAGAGTATTCTATGCTCCACACCTGTCGATATGAGTACATTGAAGTACAATCATGCACATGCACGCATAATCCGATATACCACGAATGTATGGGACCTGGTTCTAGACTAAAGACCACCTGGCTTTAACGACCGCTTTTGCTTGCACCGTGGGGTGGTCGCTTAAACCAGGTTTTACTGCAGCTCACGGCTGTTCCATGCTGGAAAGTATTGAAGATGGCCGATCTTTTTGCCGAAAAGTGTCACTGTACACGTGACCACTGTATCTACGGTAACCAAAATGGCGAGTGGGTGCACTTTGTGATTTTTTTGTAAGAACAAAAATGCTTTGGATGCATTTCATAAAATTATGCTGATCTTGTGCGGGATCAGCTTGTTTTTACAACAAATTATTATTACTTTGCATACAGGAATTCTATGTCCTGCTCGAAACTCGGTATATTATTGATTGTTGACTTGGGAAATTCGGAGCGTGGAAGAGTCCAGTACTAGTAAATGTACCTACGCTGACTTACCTTTCCCCACCACCACCACCCGCCATCCTTTGGCGACGCGTTTCAATGTCCTTTCAAAGTTTCCTTCATCCTTACTACTATGATAGTTATTGTCATCAGCTTTTTTTGGATTCTGACATGCAAACGGCATACTCATTTACAGCAACTGTCAGTGCTCAACTAGCTGACTTGTCGGAGTGCTTCCGCTTTGCAGGCTGGAGCCTCATGGCGTTGTATCTTGGCAGCGTGCTGTTCAAATATTGCCAGAAGTGTACTAGTAGTAGTACCTGGAGCCGGTCCACGTCCCTGTTCACACTGCTGATGGATGTTCTCAGGTGCTTGAAGCACTTGTGGATGGACTCACCACCTTGTTCGCCCATCAGTCCAAGGGATACACCGCACTGACTGATGCAGTCCACAGTATGCGCCTCCAGCATGTGCATTTTAGGCGTTATAGTCTTGTTCTGGTCGTAGACTGTCTTCCTTAGTGTTGCCATGAAGAGTTTAATGTTCGTAGAGAGGTGATGCAGCTTGTCAGGAGTGATCTTGTTGCACACTGCGAAGATTGCCCTACAATCTTTGTATTGCGTGAAGAGTCTGCCGTACTTGTCTCGGAGTGCTGATGCTCTATCTGGCAGGTCTTGTTGTTGTGGTGTGTACTGGATGTATGGTGAGTTGTCAGTGTTGAAGATGTTTGTCATTGTCTGTAGAGGAGCACTGGTTATTTCCTTGCATGTGGCTGGCTGCAGTGCTTTATGAATGTGGTTTCCCATGAAAGCCCCGGAGTGATATGCCTGTCTGTCTATTCTGTGTTTTTTTAAGCACAGGCTCGAAAGATTCGTGGCATGGCTGCATTGAATTCTGCGCTCAGCAAGAATAGACGAGATAAAGGAAGAAGGAGATTTTAGCTGAGCTGCCCACAGCTTAGCTTTGCAATCATAATATATATGACATGCATTCTACCTCAAATGCATCTTGGAATAGTTCACGCATATACGACACACACGACAGACGCTCGCAACATGGGTGCTGCACGGCTGCATTCACTTGCCACAAACAGACACAGCAGGAAAGAGAGGGGAGGGTGATAAAAAGGCAGGTGCTTCATTCCCTGAAAAGAAGGCCGGGGAAGCAAGCTCTAGAAGTGCGTCTCGACTGTAGTGGGTGGGATTAGCCCTAGACGCCGTTGAGCATGACGTCGACGGTTTCTTGGGCCTGCACCTTTTCTCCTATCCTCAGCACCTGAGCACACTTTACAAGGGCCAGGAGTGGTACTGCCATGTGGCTGCCACAGATAGAGAGTTGGTGTTCTAAAGTCACTAGAAGAAGAGGAGGATGCCCTTCTCAAGTACGATCTGCATGAATCACAAAATGTTGCAGGATGTACGTCTGGCGTGTCTGTTGTTGTGTTGATGTTGAAATAATGCAGGAGCTCATCTGCGTGATCAGCCACTGCATGTGTAGTCGTCCTCGTCTTCTTGTCTTTCCGAAAGGGTGGTATAAAGAACCCACACACCCTGCACAGAGACTCTAGCACTGAATTGTGGGTTGCCATGGGGGCTGACAACGAGGGACCCTCGACGAGAATGAGTGGCCCTCGACGAAAAAAACTCAATTGGGTTGCAGAGGTAGTATGATCGTGCACCAGGAAAAACTTGGAAAAGACGCTAGAAAACCTTACCTTGGGCAAGAAGCTAGCTGAAAGTATCCCCAGGAATAGGCACGATGCTATGAAAAGGAAGAATACGAAGGAAACGTTCGTCGAGGAAAAGAGCACTTTCATGAGGAGTGAAGCTTCGAAATTTTGGACATGAAGACGACTGCATTCAAGGAGTTTTATAAACCTGAATTCACCTGGAAGGCAGGCTTGGTTTGTCCTATATCCATCGAAGAAGCCATGTATTCAAGGTAATTTCGATGCAATTCAATTTCGAATTTTTGAATTTTCTTGAGCAACCTAGCTGCGCCAGCCGCAAAGGCGCGGATGACGTAGGTGCCGCTTTTTCGGAATCTGAACAGCCGTGAGCTGCAACCATAGCACCATAGCTCTAAACACAGACGGGTGTGAATGCAACTAGCAACAATAGCGCTGGGTGCTACAATGCCAATGCAATCTTACGTGGAGGAGAAATAATACGCAAACTGCTGCCCGCAGTACACTTGGGCATCGGCCCTCGCCCAACCATCGCCGCATATTGTCACCCAGCGGTTGCCAATGTAGATGTCGTACTGCTTCCAGCCCTTGATCAGCTTTCTTCCCACGCGTACGCTGCCCTCTGTACGGACATCAGAAAACATACGCACACACCATTTGACCATTTAACGTCCATCGCTGGAGGCGATGATAGCGATGCTACAGCAGAAGCCATAGCAGCTTGTGCTGGGATTGCACCATTCAACAGCATGCAAGGCTGAAGAATTGACCGCCACTATTCAGCCTGGTCTACATCACACAGCTATGAAGTGGCTTTTTCTGGCCAGTGAATCCCTACTTTTTGGTCTTTTTCATTTTTTTCACTCACACGCATCACACCACATACTCCGGCATGCACTGGCTGTGGGTAACCACCCAGGAGAATGAAAGAAAGGTCAGGAGGAGTCTGAGAAAGACCAGAAAGACGTGTGTGACCATAATCGTCGGGAATCGAACCCGCAACCTATCGATTGGAAATCGCTGCACATACCACTGCACATACCACTGCACCATATGGCACATACAAACACACATACACGCACACACACACATACACACACACACACACACACACACGCATGCACACACATGCACACACGCATGCATGAATGCACAGACAAACACATACATGCACCTGCTGAGACGTCTTCCTCCTTATTCATACCCTACTACAGTATCGTCAGCTCAAATGATCACTCTTCACACTCTACTACAAACAGAGGTTCAACATGCAGACATACACATACCGATGCTGTACACATACAATCATGTACACACAAAGCTGCACAGCTCCATATATACATGCACATGACAGTAGCATGAATTCCTACCTTCAATCAGCATGGTGGTTGGAGGTGGCACTGTGCATTAGAAAGAACGGAAAAAATTAGTGAGTGCTAAAAAGCAAGAGAGCGAGAATGAATGCGTGTGTTTCGTTAACTTTCGTGTGCGTGTGTGTGTGTGTGCATGCGTGCGTGCGTGCGTGTGCGTGAAGATAAGCGTAAGAAAGAGAGTTGATAACGGAAGAGAATGACAGCACAGCAATACAACAAAGCGATGAAAACGCCTGAATACGGCGAAATTTACTACACGCAGACATTTACACCCACAACCCCCCTCCTCTCCCCCCCCCCCCTCCCCCCCCCAAACACAGACACTACTGAACACTACGCAGCTTACGTGTGACAGGCGGAGTGACGGGGAAACATCTCTCATACACTGAAACAACACAAACAGCAGTAACAAAGCCGATCAATTCCAGTGCTGGCCAGCTATTCTGGTTTAGTCAACCCTACCCCACCATGTTCCAGACAAAGGAGAGCATGATAAGTAGGTGGCTAAAGAACATGGACAAGGACCCACGCGACTGCCACACCCAGCATTCCCCGGATTCCGTCTCCTGAATGTGCGGAAAAGATCTGCTTCCGGCCCCAGAGCACCATTCAAGCAGTGGGGCGCTCTATTTGTATGACATGGCATACATGCCAACCATCCAGGGTTTCCCGGGACAGTACAGGGAATAGGGTGTTTGTCCCGGGGTCCAGGGATGTCCTGCACTTGAAAAGTCATGGCATTGAGATGGAGCTTTTGAAATCGAAGTTCTCTAAGTACACACCGCACGCAATAGACAAAAAAATGTGGAACTGCAACAGATTGCCGGTATAACAGTAGTCAACAGAAAGTTTATTTGTGCAGTTACAGCTCAATGCAATGACATCCCTTTTGCTTGAGCAGCAGCCATGAAAGTTAAATCTGCTATTGATGGATGCGCTAAAAAAAATTGGTGTCCAGGGAAAACGGTGAAAATCAAGGGAATTCACAATCATTGTCCAGGGAACTCAAGCCTCTAGGTTTGCACGTATGATATGTTCAGGCCCGAACCCAGGTCCTGAGGTCTGGTGCGGCCCCAGGTCGGCCACAGGGCAGATGATTACCCCATTCCCGGTATCGTGCAAAAATGCATCTCAATCTCGGGAGGGGGGGGGGGGGGGCATGCATTATAAAAACAAGAAAAAAAACGTTGGCCAACCATGTCATGGTTCGCGAACTTCGCGAATCTTTTTTCCCCTTCTTGTCGCTACACTTACCTTTCTACTCTGTTTTACTTCAAATTTCCATTGGTGGATCCAGAGATCTCCACAGAGGGTCCAGTTTAGCCTGCTAACTGAATAGCTCATACAGACGCACATGGGCTTCCAGTAGTACATTTGCGGAATTTAGGGAGTTCTTCGCACCCCCCCCCCCCCGGTCCACCCCCCCCCCCACCCCCCCTCCCCCCCGGTCCACCCCCATTTTCTCTTCTCGTTCGTCTTTCTTGATATGACTGTGTGCATTGTACTGTTGAGACAACAAACTGAAATGACACTTGAAAAAGCCAAAACTAACTACTAGGCTAACCTGTGTGCAGTGTGAATATAGCATTGCCGTCTATAGGCTCGCTTTCTGCTGCTGACTCGGACTCAGACTCTGGTGACACGTAGATGTGAGTAGGGTCCTGTGCACACACATACACACAGACAGACACACACAAAATACACACACACATACACACACACACTGGCACACACACACACACACACACACACACACACACACACACACACACACACAGCACAATACACACGCAGGAGTGAATACTGATGACGGTCTGATGCTGTGCAGTAGAGCATGGTGGACTATGTCGAGAGTGCATCGCAAGACCTGTTCTGCATACGATTACTAATCTGGTCACTGTCATACAGAATACTCTACTGGAGAATGTGATCTGTCACCTTTGCTGTTTCACCTGTAAAGAGCACTATGTGCAGTGAGGAGCACAACCACTTTGTCTAATGTGTCCTTGCACCTAATGAACACCAACAAAACATTGGTACTGGCATTGCTGCACTAACCAGCAAGCAAACATTGGTACTGGCATTGTTGCACTAACCATCAAGCAAACATTGGTACTGGCATTGTTGCACTAACCATCAAGCAAACATTGGTACTGGCATTGTTGCACTAACCAGCAAGCAAACACTGGTAAATTGGTACTGGCATTGCTGCACGTACCTGTAGTACATAGTTCCCGTAGAGAGTGTTGAAGGTGATCAAGGACACACGACACGTACCCGCTGCGCATGTGCCGGGGACGATGCTGAGCGTTTGCCCAGCACGCCATGCTTGACACGGACAGGCACCGATGAATGTGTCCACCCACTTCTGTGTGTAGAGCGTGATGGTATACTCGGTGGGAGCAATACTCAGTTTGCGCACATCCGATGCCGACTGTAAGAAAAGCAAGCCAGCCAGGTATGGGTTGGTGTTACCGAATAGGCCATCTTTAACTTAAAAAGTTTAAGCTTCAAAGTGTGGTGTTTGCAATAATGTGCATGTATGTGAGAGTGTGTGGTGTTTGCATGTGTGTGGAGAAGCACGGTGTTTGCACTGAATATGTGCATGTGTATGAGGGAGTGTGGCCCAGTGGTTACAACTTATAATATGTGCATGTGTGTGTGTGGAGAGTGTGGTGTTTGCAATACGTGCATATGTGTGAGGTATCAACACTGGCTATAGCTATATTGACAATGCACAGTTGGTGGACCAGCAGTTTCTCAACACCAGACTCACCAGCACCTTGGGGCTCAGCGTGTTCAAGCCCATGTCGCTCCACTTTGCGTAGCGCACGGACGTCATCTCCAGGCCAGCCTCGGAGCACTCGCTGTTGTTGTAGACCGAGTGGTCGTTCCGCCAGAGCGTGGTGTTGGTGAAGGTGACGGACGACGTGCTCCACAGCCCACTGCTGTGTGGTCGGCAACGCACCTGACACACACATGCACAGTAAAAACCTGGTTTAAGCGACCACCCCACGGTGAAAGCAAAAGCGGTCGTTAAAGCAAGGTGGTCTTTAGAACCAGGTCCCACAGTGTCTGTGTAGAACTGTCGGTGCATGGAGAAACGGTCGTTAAGAGCAGGTGGTTGCTAAACCCAGAGGTCGTTTGCACCAGGTTTTACTGTGCATGCAGCACAGCATCAGAGATCAAAGGCTGGAGTACCAGGTCCGGTCGGTCAGGCCTTGGCTGGACCTTAGTTTGAAAAAGGAGACCCACCCGAACCGTGCAAAACAGGTTTTGTTTTGTCAATAATGCTCATTTTTGATTATTATTTATTATAAGAAGCTTCTCCGCGTTGGCATCAATGCAATGTAGATATACACAGCATGTATAGCTTTCGCATAAGCCGAAGCGACAACAGCCAAACAGGATATTGATTTTTGATCAAGTAACCGATTTGGCTGGAGCACCAGAAATCCTTGTGCTACGGCCCTAGAGATGGTTCACTGTGTGGCAGGCTGACCATTACAGCACAGGCTTCATGACTGTGCTAATGAAGAATAGATAGCAGCATTCACCATAAGGCAACTGGCCCAATTTGTCAAAGCCCCTAAGCGAACCATTCCGATATACCTGGAGTTTAGGTACAATGTGACCAGTGCAGTATTTGGTGACACCAGTACAATTATAGATATGTTGCCTGATAATCGTGACAATGTGAAACTCGAAGTCGGAGCACAGATTCACTTATCTTTCTATTGTGTAAATATACAGACAAACAAAGAAGACCTTGAGCCTCTGAATGTGCCGATTCAGGAATGCCTCAACCTCACCACCAACAAGCAACTCAGGCTGGTTAACGTTCACTGACAGATGCATGACCCCGTATGATTTGTTTACGCGGGCAATATGCGACCTGTACATATCATCATCATTATTATTATAGACACACTTTGCTGATCAAAGCCTGTGTCACATACCTTGTACAGACATGGCTCGAATTGCTCCTCAAAGCTAGTGCCCCTGCGGAACTCGGTGAGCGCGTCTTGGTACAGGCCGAGCAGCGCCACCTGCTGGGCGCTGTCCAGCGGGTACTTGCTGGTGCCGCTCGTCCAGCGAGGTAGGCGCATTGTGCCCGGCAGCGTGTACCACTCACGTGGCAAGCTGTCCGGGCCCAGCTCTCGGATGTACACCTCCGTGAAGTCAAACCTAGCAATCAGCAAGACGGCAAAAGCAGCAGCACATGCCAACGGCCGAGTTTCAATGCAAATACTTATAAAACTGAGTATACCGTAGTGACCCGCCCACATTTAAGCACATGCGCTTATAATATACAAGGTTTGCAATATTTGGAAATTTTGAAGGTCAATTGGTCTGACATAGAGGCGCATGCGTTACCAGTACGGAATTGGGAAATTGCACATTAAACCCCGTGAGTAAGAATGGTATCGTGGCGGCGCCAGGTGTGTCACGGGATTGGGTTCACTTATCAGCCCGTGTGCTTACATGTGAGGCTTTGCGCTTATGCCCAGATACAGGCACATGCACTTTTATGCACGCTACTACTAAATCCAGAACAGGACCTTACATTGGGTAGAGGTGAAGTGTGCTGGTCTTGTCGTTTAAAGCAACTACATGTACATGTACGCGATTGTTTGTCAGTACAGTACTCAATGGGGGGGGGGGGGGTAAATTCAGTTTACACACCAGGGAAAACACGTCCAACGGGAGGTTGGCAGTGATTCGGAGTTTCATGCCGAAGCAACCATCAGACAACTGACAAGAACATCCGGGGACCAATCCCAGTATCCTTACATATCCACTGGACCTCTATTCTCTGGCGTCAAGAGTACATAACCAATAGTGTGCAACTCGACGATCCCCCAGCCCACGGCGGAATTTTTTTATGACATCAGTCTTTGGCGGCTGTTTGGCTCGCTGATGCCATCATGCGTAGCCAAAGATCAAAGTACAAAGAATTTGTACATCACAGCTACGGTAGTCGAAGCAGAACAACGGACGATAGATCGATGTGTCCTGGACCTGATAAACTCTCACCGTATCTACAAAACATGTGCGGGAAAGCATACGCACTTGATCATACTTCAGCCAAAGAATGACGCAATAAAAAAATTCCGCCGTGGGTGAACCCATCGCTGCTCGAGATAGGAGTTGCACACTCTTGGTTATGTACTCTTGCTGGTGTGTATGTGATGCTGGTGTGTATGTGATGGTACACAAGATCACTATGCTGCTTAGACAGAAATACATCACAACATGGCCCCATCAAAAAAGGCAACGCAGGAGAAAAGGGAGTAGGGGGAGTTCGTGTGGAACATGCAATCAGATATCTATGTGCAGCGGACAGCATACATGGCAGTAACACTATCCATGATTGCCGCCGGAGTGTTGGCACTTGCCTGGATGTGACGAGATGGACACCGCTATCTGTAATCCTCCTTTAACCCTTAACCCTTAAAGCCTCTTCTCCTGACCCTGTGCAGCTATAGACATGCTCTAGTACTGGTGGGGGGAGGGTCCTGCACTCTACCTGATCTAGATGCAGCCTGTTCCACTGGTCCTGCATTCTACCTGATCTAGATGCAGCCTGTTCAGTCCAACTGACTTGCCCACCTACCCCCCCCCCCCCCTGTCCCCTCTTCACCCTTCCCTGTATGCACCTCAAACTGACCCCCCCCCCTCTTCATCCTTCCTTTTATGCACCTCAAATTGATGCCCCCCCCCCTCCCCTCTTCACCCTTCCCTTTATGCACCTCAAACTGATATCCTGCACCCTGCACCCCTCCCCCCACACACACTCCTACCACATTACGCGTGTGCATCCCGACCCCTCTTGATATGTTCTACTCCCCGCATACCTGGTAAGAGCGCTGGACGGTAGTGGGAGCGGCACAGTGAAGCCGTACGTGTTGAACGTGAGCTCAGGATCAGAGCCGACCAGCATGCTCCAGATCGCCATACTCAGGCCTGATTTCCAAATCACATCACTCCAGATCTGCAGCCGGGCAATGGAGAAGCAGAGGAGCAAACGTAACCAAAGCACAGCGCAGTCAGCACCACATGGTAGGTATTCTCAGGCCGCTCAATTAACTTCCCGGCACACCAGCCACTTCCATCAGCTGTGTGAGAGAGTCACGGCTGATTCCTATCCGACTTCATTTCTTTCAGGTATTTGGTATGTCCAACGTTATCTCTTCCGCATATGTTTTTTTATAGTGCTGGATATGCTATTAGAGTTTCAACTTACTTCACCATAGTTCCACTATTTGGCTGGGTTTGGGCCAGGTTTTGGCATAGAAATCTTTAGAAAGGTGATACACAGTACCGCAGGCCGGCATGTACAATTCAAAGAGGGATGTAGTCTCATTTAGAGATGGTGTGGCTTGGTCGTATCTCCCACGCTTAAAACCAGCTAGTGGTGAGCTGATGTTCGCCCGGGGACAATCCTACACGTGTGATTATCCGAATAAGGCACGTTGGGTATCAAAACAAGAAACCCGTTCTCCTACTGCAGAACCAAATCATATTTCCCCCTTTTTCCCCTCCACGCTTACACAGTGTTTGAGATCGCGCATGCATGTGAGAATCGTTGGGCTTTTGCAGTAGATAAATTACAACTCCATGCACTTGAGAAGTGCTACTGTAATGCATGCCTACACAGGTGCATTGCACACATAGAGTAACTCTGCAGAGATTGCTGGTGAGGATCAGCAAGGTGGTCTACATTGCATACATGTCACTGTCAAGGCGCATGCAAGACACAATTGACATGGATGTGGCCAAATAGGGCTTGAAAGTGATGACGTCAAAACGGCCAGGGAGTAGTAAATTGAAATCAGATTTCTATTTTGGATCCACTACGGTGTGACTTTGCTATTGCCTAAGTATGTGGGTGCGTAGCAACCCACTCATGTCGCATGCAGGTGTGACTTTTATTTCGCCACCAGTTGTCACCCCGCCCCATTAGCCAAATCAGTCAGTTTCACTGGCTACATCACCTTGCTGTGAGTAAGACCGCTTGAAATGTGTTTGGATCCATACAAAAACTGGATCCAAGTGGATCCAGTTTTTGAATTTTTGAAATTGTTGCTATGCTGTAACGTAGCACTTTCAAGCCCTATGGGGTTTCTAGGCACTTGTGCCAGTGGTTGTGAGACTTATCCGCTCACCCGCACCGTTAGGCGCTGCATCTGCCGCTAGGGTTTACCGGGTGTTAGCGGCCATCGTGAGTTCCCTTTCGGAACGGACACGATAATTTACTTTTACTTTTAAAGACACCATTGGCAGGCCATCGGCAGTACTCACCAATACGTTGCCGCCGGCAAACGCGGAACTGTCCAGGGGCTCTCCGGCGTATCCTCCGTACGTGATGACGGAGGCGGCGCGACTCAGGAGCATCTGACTGCTGAACTGGCTGCAGGCACTGCCACAGCGGCCGTCAGAAAGAATGGCGACTCGCTCAAACGGTGGCGACGTCGGAAACAGGCCCTTGACGCTCAGATCCTGCAGCACATCGAGGCAGATTTTGGATACGTACTTCTGAGAATAGCGGGATGTCCGACCACCGCGCTGGCGCTCCACCGCACCATTAACGACTTGTTCCAAGGTGAACGCTTCGCCAGTTTCAATATTCGCAGGCTTCTGCATGAGACCGAGAACCAGAGTCTCGATCGGGGTAAACACTACTCGCTCCAAGAATTCAGACACGACCGCGCCTCGCTGAGCGTCACTGATTTCAGGCTCCTGGATACTGGAGCTAAAGTTTTCCATCACCTCAGGTGTCAGTACTACGGGAGTAACCGTTTGTCCGCTGGCAGTTGTGTTCAGTAGAGACCAATAGGTCTGTGCCTCCTGCAGAGTCATGGATTTGCCGGCCAGGGTACTGCGAGAGTGAGTCAGCGCCGTCGACAGCCTGCTGAGGAAGTCTCCGATCCGGACGTCCAGCGGCTGGCAGATGGTGCCGTGCGGGGAGCTGATCCACTCCGGCCGCAGGTAGGCCATCAGCAGCTGCGCCAGCTGCACGAAACCGCCACCATTGCCGGTCAAGTCGAGCAGCAAGGTCTGCGTGCCCTTTTGCCGGGCCAGTGCACGCGTCTGGTTGAAGAACTGCAGGAACTTGACGGGCTCGAGCTTCGTGAACTGGAACGCGGTCATCTTGACAATGACGGCGTTCTTGAAGTAGAAGAGGAACATCTTGCTGTCATAGGATGCAATGGTGGTGAGCACTGCGGAGAAACAGGACAACAAAAACGGCACGGTCTGTTTGACGGCATGCTTGCACCTGGAGCTAACTACCACCCCATGACCAGATCTGCTCCAAGAAACTTGAGCCACACATTACGAGATAGTAAACGGGACCTTCTTCGAAAATAGGTACTCAGGGTATGGTCAGGTTAGTGTCCCAGTATAGTATCCAAGGATAGGATATTGCCATGTCAGGACACAGGTGCATACTCAGTCTGCATTGCATGGCACACATAAACACACTAAAGGTAATCGACTCCGTATGCACATGATTTCAAGGCGCCAGTTCACCTAAGTTCGGAGAGGTACCGGAAGTCGAAGCTGACATGCGCCTTCACCGAGAGCTCACCTTTTGGTGCGGGTTCGTACGTCACGAGTCGCTTTCGCCGCAGCCTCTGCTGGTCCTGCGTGAGCGCCAGTGGAACATTGCTGTTGTCCTTGTACTGGCGAATGAACTGCTCGAAGAGACGCTGCTGCTGGGCCAGCTTGACGAGCTCTTTGACACTGTACTGCGTTGTGAGGAAGGAGCGGAGCGTGAGGCCAGCGGGCACACTGATGAACGCCGTGTATTTGAGATGCAGTGCCGTGTTGTCATCGAACACAATGTCCAGTGTGTCGTTGCTGGGAAGCGGGTACGAGCCAAGAGCTGCAGGAAACCACCAACAGAACAACCAACCCAGCGCGCGTGTCTGGCACTACTAAATAATATATCTTGCAAATGAAAGCGTAGGATAGTGGCATACTAAGCAAAAGAAATGTACTGCCACGTGGATATAGCCTGGGTGTTGCTTCAAAACACCTGCATGAGCATGCACATGTACACACACACATGCACACACACATGCACACACACACACGCACACGCACACACACACACATATATACACACACACACACACACACACACATGCACACACACACACACACACACACACACACACACATATACACGCGCACACACACACACACACACACACGCGCGCACGCACACACACACACACACACACACACACACACACACACACACACACACACACTACAAGTTACTGAAGAAATCAAGGTGGCTGAGCAGGTGGTACTTAGAGTATTCTTTTACTACTAGGTTACAGCAAACTGCTGCACACAAAAGCACTTGTAATGCATAGCCACAAGAAGTCAACAACATCACTATCATAGCAAATTACAGTTAGACAGAAATTTCAAACAATGAGTATTCATGTTCCATCATGCACATGTTTTAAAACCAGATACGTCTACTCACTGAATGTGGTGGTACTGAGGAGGTCATTGAAACGAGCTCCTGCACTCTTGTAGTTGCCCAGCGGATCAGCCATTTGCCGCAGGAAGTCCAGGGCTGGCATGCCATTGATGCTGTTCACTAGGTTTTCCGGTTGCAGGCCGTCCAGGTTGGGAAAGATGCTGCTGAACTTGTCAAAGTTGATGAACGGCGGTCCTTTGTGCAGCTCATAGTACGCTGGGAACGTTGACATCTGCACGCGGTCAATGGTCACGCGTTGCTTGCCGTCGACTAGTGCCGAGCCAAACACGAACGGCAGCAGGAACGAGATGGCCGCGAACGGGTTCAGGTAGAGCGTGTGGGCGTCGTCGAAGTGGCTCATGAGAACGGTGACGTCGCGGTGGAAGTCGTACGCTGCCCGGTAGTCGGTCGCCTCGATCCTGCTCAGCTCTTTCTCGATGTCGATCGAGATGTTGTGTACGGTGTAGTTGAGGCCCGGTGCCAGCCTGCTGTCCGACTCCAGACTGTTGTGGATCAGGTCAGTGTACGCATACAGACCCAGGACCCTACAGACACAGTATAAAAAAACACCATATGAAAAAAATAAATGTGACATGGCTCGCTTCAGATTCGGCCAGACTGAGCTTTCCGCATTCTCAGTAATGCCACCACCCTCAAGGATCAAGGCGCAGATGCAGCTGCTAAAGCGGTGAAACATGCCGCCATGAACTCACAAGCATCATGTGTATTGAGGCTTTGTCGACTTGTACTTTTATACGACTATTGTGTGAGAAACATAAATAAAATCCTGTTGACCCAAGGGGCTTGCCCTCTGCTCTGACTTGCCACAAAACCAACACAGGCAACAGAGGCAACAAGAGAAATCTCAAAAGAGATACTGAGAATCAGAGTAACAAGGCTTCCTAACATAGCAGAGATGATGATGGGACTATTTCATTTTTCATTCTCGGAGCATTCTAATCTTAGAGAACCTAGAACTATTGTGCCTTGACGTATGGGCACATAATCCCAGGGATGCACGTCTGCACACAAAGAACACCCCCCCCCCCCCCCACACACACACACAGAGGCAAACACACGCACGGTCACACAGCACCGAAAGCTCAGAGATCATAGCCTACCCGTCTCGGATAATGCGGAGCGTTGTGTTCTTGATGGAGGGCCTCAGCGGTATACTGGCCAGACAGTGCCTGACCCAGGCCAGCGTGGCCAGCCGATACTGACTGAGTTTGCTGAAAACGGGCAGTCGATCAATGGAACAAGCGTCTACACTGCTGTAGTCCATACAGCCTTGCTCGTCCACGCCATATTGGCAATCGACCACACCGTCACAGCGCCATCCCAACGGTATGCATTTGGTGGTACTGGACTTGTCATCGCCGCACATGAACTCATTCTGTTTGTCACACACTGGATTTGTTCATAGAATTGTGAGCATGCACACAGACAGGTATTCAAGCATGCACGCATACAGCATATGCATGCACATACACGCACATACAATCACATACACGCACGCACACGCACGCACACACACACACACACACACACACACATACACACACATGCACACACATACATACACACACAGACACACACATGAACACACACATATACACACAAGTGCCGACACAGACACACACACACACAGACACACACACAGACACACAGACACACACACACACTCACACACACACAAGCACACACACACACACACACAAGCACACACACACACACAAGAGACCACGCCAAGTCCAATGCATAGACCCGAATAGAATGTCACCCATACTGAGTGAGCGGACGTGTCATTCAAGGCCTAACTTCCACTGATCCTTACACAGCAACTATTTGCATACACATTCCCGATTTAATTCGACGTGTCACAAATATTCAATCCTGCCGAATCCTTCAAATTATCGTCAGATGAACCGAACATGCACGGCAGTTTACAGAGTATCAAGGTGTCAATGGACTCACCACAGTCCAGCTCATCGCTGCCATCGAGGCATGTGTCCTGCCCCTCACAGCGCAGGAACAGCGGAATGCACTTGCCATTGTTGCAGCGGAATTCAGACGTCACATTGCATGCTGCCAACAGTACAGAATGTAAAAGCCAAAATCTTCAATGTAAAGTAGCAATGAAAATTATTCTACGTCAAAGTACTCCCTCAATCTTATGACTAAAGTAAGATATTGGAGAATATTGTCTCTAGGTCACATCTTCAATGTTGCTTTACAATGCCTTCTTCTCGGTTCTCTCTGCGCACCAACGGATTCAGCTTTCGGTCCTCGACAAGCGATTTATCCGCTGCGTTGCCAACCAGCCATTCCCCTCCCACACATATCCCACCTACACCCGTCTTGGCCTCATCCCCATCATCCAAATCGCCCATTGTAAGCTCCGCCTCCTCATGCTTTGTATCCACACCGCCAGAATTAGTAATCTCCTATCCAAGCGCCTATGTCGCCAGACTGAAGGCGTCCCTCGGATCAATGATCCAAATGTGTATGTTGTCCCTGCCACCAGGCGAGTCTCTGGTGACTGTTGGCCGCTCATTTCTGCTGTTAGATTATGGAACGCCCTGCCCCTAGAGTTCAAGTCCCTCGCCTGCCATAGATCATTCAAGAGACTTTTAAAGGTTTATTTTTATGGCTAGCCAGCATCTACAGTCCATTCAAAAAAGGTTGAGCGCTGGCTCTGGAGAGCTCGCGTGTTTGGCGATTTTGTGGTACACTGTGCAGTGCCGCGCGATTCGAAACTTGAAAAAGGGTCCAAAAAGGCACCTCAACTGGGGTTCGAACCGCAAATGTACTGTTATGCAAGTGGAGTGCACGGCCTGGATTTCCATGGTTTTTGCCCAATTCAGTGCTTTGGGGGCAAAACCTGGCCGAAATCCTATTCTTGTTATGGCTTGCTTTTTGGAGAAATAGACTTCAAAAACACAATTGGAAGAGCATTCCATGGGGGATTGCCAAAAAAAGGAGACGAAAACTCAAAATTTGACCCGTTTATGGCCAAAAGCTAGGATATCAATCTTTTCTGAATGGACTGTAGGCTTGGACTTGGAGTCGTGACTCAACTGTGACTCAACTGTGCTTTTTGATTTCGTTATTTTTGTCTTTCGTTCTTTTTCCTTTTTCCCTTGTACTTTTTCTTCTTCTTCTTGTTTTCTTTTTTTCCCTTCTCTTTTTCTTTTTGAGTATACGCAGTCTGTGTTTCTATGTTTTTCTCTCTTTCGTGGAGGCTTGCTTGTTGTATCCTTGGCTTTTGGCCGTTACTTTATCGCCATTCATATTGGGCACCATTGCACGTTTGGTCTGCGATACAAAATATAATTTCAACAACAACAAAAGGTTCAAGGAGCCCCAGACACAATTAGTCAAATGAAGAAGAAAAAGTGTGCTGTGACCAGGATTCGAACCTGGGTTACTACGGCCACAACGTAGGGTCCTAACCACTAGACGATCACAGCTTGCTACAGGAGCACACATTTCCAGGTGATACCTCGCATCGTACTGAGCCTAGAGATTTCCTCTGACAGTTCAACTACCATCCGAACCGATGATCATCTCAGTTCATGTTCAAAGTTCAATGAAGTAGTGTTTGCACATTCTGCTACTTCACATGGTTACTCCAGAACAAAATGAAACTGGAACTACACCAACCAGCACTATAACTACAAGAAAAGAGAGAAGAGAGAGAGAGAGAGAGAGAGAGAGAGAGAGAGAGAGAGAGAGAGAGAGAGAGAGAGAGAGAGAGAGATGAATAGATAGATAAATAGATAGATAGATAGATAGAGAGAGAGAGAGAGAGAGAGAGAGAGAGAGAGAGAGAGAGAGAGAGAGAGAGAGAGAGGTGCTAGTAGATAGAGAGGGAGAGGGAGAGAGAGAGGAAAAGGAGAGGAAGAGAGAAATGTGTGCATGCTACTAAGTAGTGGTGTGCATGGGTAGTCCGGTACCCGTGCTACCCGTGAGGACCTCGGGTATACGGGTACAGAATAGTACCCGAAAACCCAAAGTCGCAGATGACATCATGTACAGTCAGTGCACGTGTACAAATTCGCGTAATACTCCGCATGTCTACCCAGTGTGTAAGGGAAGGGGTGCATTGTGGTGTTACCATGGAAACATTACCCGATCGCGTAGCCGTGCTACCCGTGGCAAACTACCCGAACCCGATACCCGAAGAAAATGCTACCCGACTTAGCCCTACTACTAAGCCAGTCATGGAACCAAGACGCTCAGGGAAAACTACAGAGAGAGCACAACAAAGAAAGACGGAAGGAGAAAAAGAGAAACAACACTTTTAAAAAGTACACTTACCGCAATGACTTTCATCGTCACCCTGCGGGCACTGTGCAACGCCATCGCACAGTATCGTCTTAGGCATGCACACACCACCACCGCGGCACAGGAAATGATCAGACCGACACTGGGCAGGCTTCTCTTCCAACGGCGGTGTGCCCTTCTCTGCACAGACACGATTCGTTGTCGCCGTGCATGGTGACAACTCGATTTCATCCGCCGAACAGGTTCTGCATTCTGTTCGCAGGCAGGAAGAAAAGACGGAACGAATTCACGAAGAAATAGCCTCGGTCATGGCGTATAGTTTTGAAGTACCTCGTTATTAACTCCTATGGCATGGTGCTGGATGTTTGAGGCGGTCTGATATTGGTAGAGTACTTTTTGTGTATGCGTTGTATCTCAACGATACCTCACTCAAGACTTCCAGGCGTACCGCACACAAGCACTCTCAGTCTCAACCACCACGGGCATTACGAGTTTAGATAGATAAACATTACAGTAATGATAGAATAGAATGCATAACGGGTATACGGGTAAGAGAGCTATTGCGACTCTGAGAGAACAACGAAAACCACCAAAGAAAACAACCAAGGAACAAAACCACTCAAAGCGCTGTCATCAGCAAAACGTGCCAGTACCGGTGCACACACGGCGACCCAAGCGAACTCAGCGTACCAAACACGCAACAAATAAGGCAAGCCAGATATCGTGCACGCGTGAGATGACCGTTTATGATGGTATACACGACTGCAGAAACATGGCAGCGGCTCGTGCACGCACACACAAAATAAATAAACAAATAGAAATTCAAACTACAATAATTAACCCGAAAGGAAAGAGGAAAGAGACGTATGGGAAGCCGAAGGGTTTCACCTGTCAGTGGGTGCTTGCATCCGATATGGGTGACAGTAAACCCTGTCAGATAGTGACACATCGTAGGATTACTCAGCAGCGGAACTTCACTCAGGGAGAATAGTAACAAAGCACGTAAGTAACCCTAGCAAATCGTGAACTCTACTAGCAAACGAACGCAATGTTCATAATTACTCAGACGACACTCGTGGCCAAAGACCAACAGGTAAGAGAAGTTACCTAATACAGAATCAATTAGACTAAATCAATGGCATGCAGCAACAGCTAGCAGGAAAACAGGCAAGGAGTCGAAGTCGTGACGAGATCTCAGGACGTGCAACGGAGACCTTTTCAACGCATTTACAACAGTACTCATAAAAAATGTGTGCGCACGCTTCTACTATATGTCATAGCAATGCATATGCCGTAACTGGTCTTTTGGACCAGCTGCATTCTGCACCATGCACCGCGTACTCGGTAGACTATTTATATAGTTAGCAAACTGGCAAATGAATATCACTATCTTCGATAAGCCGTCCTCAGGAATCCTACAGTCTGGACTTAGCGTGTCACGGCTGACAAATGCAAAAGAAGCCGCCTTCACAGAACCTGCAGGTAGTGAGTGGGCAGTGCAGCACCTGGACAAAGAAACACTGGGTCAGCCTCCACCGAACAATGCCACCACTTACCCGTACAGAAGCCACTGTACACATCGAAGCAAGGCAGCGCAGCAAACATTCCATCCGCACAGCGAGGACAGGCTGTGCAAGACACAGGTTTTAAAACAACACGAGCAGAAAATCAGTGCACGATCAGCTCAAGGCCATGAGCCAGTGCAGGGAGAGCACGGGCCCGGTTACTTGACGAAGTTTACGGTCCATTCATTAATATCCAAGCCAAACTGTTGGTATCTCGCACATGTTTGTATAGTGGTAGAAATGATGACTGTACATCCTGCATTGTGTGACCCTTGCTATTTTACAGGCTTGCCATATTCGATGTTGGAAGAGTCTGACAATAGGCAAAGAATAGGGAGTTGCCCAGGGTTTACAAAATAGGACGGGTATGCCATTGAAAATGTATGGACAAGCAGGTCGGCAACCCAAAGAGATGGATGGAGAGACTGTAGTCCTATCTGAAGTCAACGGCTAGTTAGGTAGAGTACTGACACCACTGCTCACGCACGCAATCACACACACATACACACAAACACACACAAACACACACACAAACACACACACACATACACACACACACACACACGCACACACACACACACATACTGATACACACAGCGCACATTACGCAACGCCTCACCTCGATACGACAGGACGAAGCCGGAGAACTCCAGCGAGCCGTCCGTCACAAACTGCACACGCATCCTGGACCCACTGGATACGATGATGTTCTCGGGTGGCTGAAATCCACACAACCTCTCGAGTATATGCCCCGAAGCAGTGTCCCACACACTCAAATAGTCAAACTGGCATCCCGGAGATGGCTCAACATCCAGTACCAGGAACTTTACAGAGATGATGTGACCAGCCGGCACCTCGATGAAATAGGAGCAGTTCTGGTTTGGCGCGTACGTGATCGAGGGCCCGCTGTTGTCCTCAAAGTTCCCATGGTGTCCGGAAAAGTGGAAGCCATTCTGACAGGACGATGCATCTACGGAGCACAGAGAACACAATTGTTGCGTGGCTATTGGCAGGTATATTTCAATCACGGCCGGGACCAAAACCAATGTGATCAATGCAATTATGTGCCACCATGTTATACAGACCTGCTTATCCTGAGGCAGGATCACAAAAAGGACTTCAGTCAGAAACTGCCATTGGGCATTGGCTGATCTAACGGAGCATTTATTATGGTGATCTGCTTTAGAACAATGCTTTGCAGAGGCCGAACCCTGCTACCAGTACTAGCAACAGTACATAACCCCCAAGAGTGTGCAACTGCCTGCACAACCTCTATGCTGTGCTGCGGCAGCAGAACTTCACATCACGTGACATGGTTCAAAAGGTTACACTGGCAAACAGTGCAACGTGACCAGAAGAGACTTGAATCCAAACCTGGGTTGCGTAGAATCCTGTATCTATCTTGCCCAGAGTGCAAATAATGTGTACGGCTTCATCACATGATGTGAAGTTCTGCCGTCGCAGACCCCATAGCTGGAGTTGCACACTCTTGGGGGTTATGTACTCTTGGTACTATCGATGTGTGCAGCTGCAGGGCTTGTCTATGAACCAACAATACTGCCGTCTTGCCGGTGCTCAAAAGTAGACTGGTTGTGCAAAACAGATTGCCCGTGCACTCACAGCTCTGTTTGGCAACCACCCCGGGATACTGTGGTGCACGGACAATGGTCTTTACAGGTGATCTCACATCACAGGGTCAACAGTGTATACTGAACATGATCTGGGACCTGTGATGATCGGTCTCTGAAAACAGGTGGTCTTTCAGCACAGGTCACACTGCAAATCTTTGCATGGTCTGACGCGGGGACCAGAGGTGACCGGTCTCTAATGACAGGTGGTCTCTTCACACAGGTCAGAAATGCATGGTGAAGCTAGGTATAGGGTCTGAGAAGCATGGTCTCTGTAAACAGGTGGTCTCTTCAGACAGGTGGTCTCCTATCACAGTGGCTGTTTATCACAGGCTTCACTATACATGTACACGCATGAGTATAGAGTCATTGTTCTTACCAACAGCTTTATAGAAGACGGTGAATCCCTTGTTGGTGTTAGTGTAGTCACTCGAGAACCCTAGACCAATCTGATTGGCGGCGCTGGTGAATGGTTGTGGCAGGATGGTGCCGCACAGGCGCGTGTTTGGCAGCGTGTTCTGAGAGAGCTGCAGGGCAGAGACCTTCGCTGGCGCCAGGCTGAATATGTCCTTGGTCACCAGGCCGTCGACGACAATGACGTAATCTGCAGCACACTGGCCATCAGGTTCAACCTGTGGAAGAGAGCAAAATTCGGGAGAATAGCTGATCAACGCCAAGCCCGGATGTAATCAGAGTAAAATTCCTGCATCAACTTCTGCTTGCATTCCCTACAGTTTTGCTACGGACTCGACAACAGTGGCACATACTTCTAACTCAATAAGTTCTAAGTGTACTAGACGACACTAATGCTCAGCGTGTTAAAGGCTATCTTGCCACACCTCTATGGCTAGACTGACAAGGCATGCTGAAGTTCCACTTCCGCTCGCCAACAAGCTAGGTTAATGATATGGAGTAGCACACTCTGTGTTGCAGCATTCAATCACCGTTAAACCTGTCAAGGCAATCACTCTGATAAGGCTACCACCTGTCCCACAGCACCACCACAACCAGGACCAAGTGATGTTATTTCCATGCCAAAAGGCACTGGACAAGACCACCTGTACACAGGGAACCTATATTGACGGTCACTTGAGTAGTCGCCTTTGAAAGGTTTCGCTGTATGCCACGGTAATGCTTTAAAGAAAAAAATGAGTATCACCACCAGAACTCTAACCCGGACCTTTGTCACCACCAGAGCTCTAACCCGGACCTTTGCTACAGGTTACAGAAGCACCTGTCACTAAGCCATGGTGTAGTTGTCATTCCAGCAATACATAATAAACAAAGACGTTGCCTTTGTCGTTACACTCTTAGTGTGTGACATGGAAACATTCTACTGTCAACCAATGAAGGTGTCCCATCACCCCCCCCCCCCCCCACCCCCACCCCTACCCCCCCCCCCCCCCCCCACCGCCACCACCATCACCACCACCAACACCGATTAAGAACCATCACTACCACCACCGGCTAAGAACCATCCGAAATATGATAATTGGACAAGCGTCATGGAACCAGTCTACACCGGTCTAGCTGACTAGCTGCTGTCAGTTGACTGGCTTGGGCTAGTGCCAGTTTATCTTGAAGACTTTAACCAAACATCTACTAAAGATCCCACCTAGCCAAACAATGCATTCTATGGTACATGACTAACGATGGCCCCGACAAACATCCTGCCAGCTCCTACCCTGAGCATTCACAGCACCGTTCTTTGTGTGTGCAGCAACTTTGATCACGAACCTGGAAATTCGAGAAGCTGAGCTTGATGACCATGCCAAGCGGTACGCGTATGTTCCACGTGCAGTGCAAGTTATTAGGGTAGTGGCCAGTATAGCTGTTGAGCGGGCTGGAGAAGTTGCCTTCTCTGTCCGTTAGCGTATAGTCACACTGTGGCGAAGCTGGACGCAAGCAGAAGAACAGACGGAAAATTCCGTTATAATTTGCAAGCAAACAAAAACCCAATCAGTAGCATTGACTTTAAGGAGTGATTGGTAATCTCAATGAATAGCATTTCAGAATCCGTGGAGGAAGACACACACCTTACTAGTGGGCAACGGGTAAACAACAACAGCAGACCAACAGGGAGGGTAGGGGTGACACAATGAAACCCATGCTGGTAAGACAACCAATAACACCATCGACCTGGGATCTTGGTGTTAGTAACTCCCGCTTTGCACACCGAAAATTTCAAACGTTGAACAGCGATTCTAAAGTGAACTATTGGGAGCGAATAGAGAAGACAAGCGAGAGAGTGGTAAAAGAGAAAGGGGAGGGGGTGGGGAGGGAGGGGAGTGGGGGAGGAGGTCAGGTTCGATGTGTTTGTGGCGGGGGGGGGGGGGGGAGGAGTGGATAATGAGGCCAAAATTCCGTATCACAGAACAAATTCACAGCAAATCGGCTTCATCCTCACTTGTGAATGTGGCGACAAATCCAGGTCCTGTTCCGGTGCTGTCCGTGCGGAAGTTGAGCAGCAGTGAGTTGCCAGTGGTGGTGACTGTTCGATTTCCCTTGTTCTGCAGCCGTGCAATGAGCCGTGACGTGAGCGTGTAGCCATCGCGAATATCAAGCCGATCTTCGTAGAAGTTTTCAAACTGCAAGGCAAAGTGCAAGTGGTAGTAGAGTAAAAAGACTTGGCTGTTGTGATTCAGTCAAAACTGGTAGCTACATGTAGAGTGCAGTATCATCATGACCACTGTGCTGCTCAATGAAATCCAGTCGAGTCAATCAAGTATGCGCCGGGTGTTGCGCAGCCCTAGACCTGCGAACACTGGGCTGCGAATTGGCGCAAGGCCAAACTTGACTCACGCGATCTAGAGACTAGCGGATAATGCCGGCAGAAAATTCGGCTGAAACGGCATCACAGACGAGAGAGAGCAGAATTTAACAGAACCAATGCTTGTAAAAGCAGAATATCTATCCCGAGTCCTAAGACTCCTAACTAACTAGTTACTTCAAGGCTTTCCCTTGCTCTCACTTCTCAGCAATCCTGGGTACTTTTTTAGCACTGCATTTCAAGCGCTCGCTTGTGCTTGGCAGAGGGCGCTGCGTTTCGAGGCCGAGACACAGCGCTACATCATCCAGTCCGCAAGCCACAGTACAAGTGGCAGGCGCTGGCGCTTGACTTCGTGCTATACTTTAGTACAGAGGTCAAAGTGCAATGTCTGCTTCAGCAGCACACGATCTACCACCCATTGAAGATGGCAGTTCCTCAATTTTTTATACTATAACATGTAGAATTAGATGCATCCGGATGAGCGCTTTTTGAGCAGAAAAGTCAGCAGAACCCCCATGTGCTTCGAGCAGAATTTTGAGCAGACTGAAAAGCAGAATTGTTTCTTTCGCCGAGCATTATCCGCCAGTCCCCAATTGAGCAGCACTGCAGGTATACAAGTATATGTGTCACTACTAATACTAAACTCTGATGGCGTAGGGTGGGTACTTTGGGATGTACCTGCCCCTGCCTCTGCCCTTGCATGCATGCAACGAAGGCTGATGATTAAAGTGTTACAATGGCTGCATGAATGCTTACCAATCCTTCCCTGGCTTTGATTTTTTTTCGACACTGGAAAAAACTGAAGTTTTCTACAAGTACTGAAAAAGACTTTCCAAGATAACTTCCAGTTGTACCTTTAGGCTATGTGTGTACCCGAATGTCATCACAATGACGTCACCGTGACAAAAACCGCTACACCACCATTACATCATCAGTACACTACCATGACATCATCAGTACACCACCATGACATCATCAGTACACCACCATGACATCATCAGTGCACTGCCAGTACACCACAAGACACCACCATGAGGAGAGTCATGGAATGAAAGAGCAGAAAAGGTAAGCAGGTGCAACACAATGGGTTGGGTTGGGGTCGTGGAAGGGAGGGGGGGGGGGGGGGTAATCTACTTGCAAAGCACAACATACCGTGTAGGTTACTCTCAGAGAAATGCTGTGATTGAGCGGTGCGAGTATCACCCAGACGCAGTCGAGGTCATTTCGGTAGTTCTCATCAAGGCCGCTTCCATCCGTCAGAGCACCTTGCAGGGTGGTTGTGATGTACCCACAACCGAGTGCAGCTAAACAGAACACGTTTTGAAAACAGAATTCAACCTCCTGTGTTAGAAATCAATGGGAGAAGTGCTCAAAGTGCTGGTGGAACTGGCAGTGATTGCATGACAACTGACAAGATAAAACACACGTATTACATTTCATTGAGGAGTTACGCATGCATACACCTGAGCGCGTGAGTCAGTGTGTGTGTGCGTAGGGGGGGGGGGGGGGTAGGTTTGTGTGTGTGTGTGTGTGTGTGTGTGTGTGTGTGTGTGTGTGTGTGTGTTGCGAATCGAATTATGGTCACACACGTCTTTCTTCTCTTTCTCAGACTCTCCCTGACTTTTCTTTCATTCTCCTGGGTGGTTACCAACAGCCAGTGCATGCCGGAGTATGTGGTGTGATGTTTACACGGGAAAAATTAAAAAATAAAAAGACCAAAAAGTAGGGATTCACTGGCCAGAAAAAGCCACTTCATAGCTGTGTGGTGTAGACCAGGCTGAATAGTGGCAGTCAATTCTTCAGCCTTGCAAGCTGTTGAATGGCGCAATCCCAGCACAAGTTGCTATAGCTTCTGCTGTGGCATCGCTATCATCGCCTCCGGCGATGGGCGTAAAAAGTCAAAGGTGTGTGTCTGTGTGTGTGTGTGTGTGTGTCTGTGTGTGTGTGTATCTGTGTGTTGTGTTGTGTGTGTTATGTTGTTTTATGTTGTGTTGTGTGTTGTGTTTTGTGTTGTGTTGTGTTGTATGTGTGTTTGTGTGTGTACATGTTGTTGGTGTTGTACTATATCGCTGTACACCACACTTCACTTACCTCCGTAGCCATACAGCTTGAGCAGAGCAGCTTCACTGATCGTACTCTATGGCACAGCACAGTCACACCAGCACAGTACACCAGCACAGTCACACCAACACAGTGAGGGGAGAACAGACCCAAACTCAGAGGAGCACTCTTGCTGCGGAATACGGCAGTGATCAGTCTAAACTTGAAAAGGGAAATGATCAAACTCCTGTCATGCACAATGGGTGTACATCATCAACAGCAGTTGAGTACTCTGTGTACATACCCAGATGCAGAATAATGCCAACGCACAAAACGTTATGTATTATACTAGTACTATACGATCCACAGAGTCCAGGTCCACAGGACACATGCAATGTATCATGTTGATGATGTCATCATGCTCAAAGCCCTACACTAGAACACTGCAGGACAGATACAACGTATGGTGATGGTGATGTCATCATACTTGACCCACACACAACACTGTTACTGCAGGCTACATCCAATGCATGATATCGATGCCATCTTACCTGAACTGGTCTGCTTTCACCTGAAAAAAGGAAAAATGGAAAATTCAACATAACATCCCCTGTTAGAATGTGTCTTAGCAAAAGAAGAATATCATGTTTATAGTGGATTACACATGCATGAAGTTTATACCATGCCCAAGCAAACACAGTAGTGACAGTCCAAACGAGATTGCTACGCCGGTAGTTTTACTGATTTTATGGATTATGCACTAGAATGTACTGTTTTGTGTTTTGCTACATGAATTAATACAGCATGGCGAAACGAAGTCCCATAAGGTAGCAGTAAAAAGCAGGACTCAAAACCACAGAAGAACTGGCCGAGATATATTAAAACAGTGAAGTATTATCGAGCAGTGCAGGACATGTATCTGTGCTCCTTCGGTTACCTAGCCAACCATGACTGATTTCAAGAAGAGAGCACAGTGATAACTCTCATGTGGACAGTGGAACCAACATGGCCGAAATCATGTGACCCAGAATATGCAGGGGTTGCATGGAGTTGGAACCAACATGGCCGACATCATGTGACCCAGAATATGCAGGGGTTGAGTGGAGTTGGAACCAACATGGCCGACATCATGTGACCCAGAATATGCAGGGGTTGAGTGGAGTTGGAACCAACATGGCTGACATCATGTGACCCAGAATATGCAGGGGTTGAGTGGAGTTGGAACCAACATGGCTGACATCATGTGACCCAGAATATGCAGGGGTGGAGTGGAGTTGGAACCAACATGGTTGACATCATGTGACCCAGAATATGCAGGGGTTGAGTGGAGTTGGAACCAACATGGCTGACATCATGTGACCCAGAATATGCAGGGGTTGAGTGGAGTTGGAACCAACATGGCTGACATCATGTGACCCAGAATATGCAGGGGTTAAGTGGAGTTGGAACCAACATGGCTGACATCATGTGACCCAGAATATGCAGGGGTTGAGTGGAGTTGGAACCAACATGGCTGACATCATGTGACCCAGAATATGCAGGGGTCGAGTGGAGTTGGAACCAACATGGCCGACATCATGTGACCCATACCCATATATGCAGGGGTCGAGTGGAGTTGGAACCAACATGGCTGACATCATGTGACCCATACCCATATATGCAGGGGTCGAGTTGAGGTTAGAACCAACGTGGCTGACATCATGTGACCCATACCCATATATGCAGGGGTCGAGTGGAGTTAGAAGTTTTAGAACCAACATGGCCACCCTGCATGGTCGTGTTATAGATCTGCAACACCACCATAGAGTAAAGGACCAGCATGCTGAGGAACTACAGTAAAGCCTGGTGTAAGCGACGTCTAGTTTTAGCGGCCACATGATTTTAACGACCGTTTTTTCCATGCACGGACAGTTCTACACAGAAAGTGCACCGGGTACAGCAACCACCTGCCTTGCATGACCAGCGACCGACTATTAGTTTACCAAGTGTCATATCTGACCTGCATACAGCGACCAAAACTACTAGTAACCAAAGTGCTATTCTTGCTGATAGGCTTGACTGCAACAGGGTTGAAGCGTGCTCAGAAGTGAGTACAAGCAGTCAACAGAATTGAAAAGTCATTAGTGACTGTGCAGGGCACCCTGCATGCACTTGAGTGAGGTGTGAAACTGATGAGTGCTCTGCCTGCACACAAGTGTTCTATGCTTCACACCTGTCAATATGAGTACATGGAAGTACATTGTCATGAACACAGTGTGTATACACGTTCCGATATGCCGCGAATGTATGGGATCTGCTTCTAAAGACCACCTGGCTAACGTTTTTCCTTGCACCGTGGGATGGTCGCTTAAACCAGGTTTTACTGTCGGTGCATGACACTGAGCACGCTGCTGTCCAGTGGGTAGAGCCGTCTGACAAACGATGGTGGAATATGCCCATTGTGTATTGTTCAGGTATGGAGTGCATGAGTACTGCATATATGTACACTGGGGTAAGGCCTGCCAAGGGCGTCGGAACCGCACCGGCCACTTTTTTGGCCGGTTTTTTTTTTTAGCACACTGCAACAAAGCGCGATGATCTCAGCGCAAACGTGGCAAATCCTTGTCCCCGATCGTGGTTTGTTGCAGAATCAAAAGTCCATGTACACTGAAATGGCACCAAATGCCTGAGAATGCTTGCAATTGTTTTTTTTTTTTTTTTTTTTTTAGCACACTGCAACAAAGCGCGATGATCTCAGCGCAAACGTTGCAAATCCTTGTCCCCGATCATGGTTTGTTGCAGAATCAAAAGTCCATGTACACTGAAATGGCACAAAATGCCTGAGAATGCTTTCAATTGGCTTCAATTTTTGAATTTTTTCCCAGGGGAGGGTAATGTTTGTCCCCGATCGTAGCATCTTCTTGGTTTTTTTCCAGAATCAAAAAGTCTTTCATTGTAGTGACCGTACACTGAAATGGCACCAAATGCCCGGAAATGCTTGCAATTGCCTTCAATTTTTGAATATTTTTCCCGGCGGAGGACCCCGGACCCCTTCCATGGCCGCCCCACCTCCAAAGTTGGTGCGACACGCCTGCCTGCGCTGCACAACACCCCGCACCAGCAACCATCCCCAAGTGGCTGTTGTAGGGTGTTCAATGATACAAACTATACGTCACCACACACTGCCGGGTTCAACAGTAAAGCCCTGAGCAGCAATACAGTGTTAGCCGAGAGCGTATGCATCCTCACTTGGCTCAGGCTGAATGATCTCCAGTTGTATAGGGTAGTGGGTACTGATCTTCACTGCCTGTAAGAGACAAAGCAGCAAACACACAGTGTTCACACGATTCAGACACACATCGCTCACACCACTGCAGCAGCGTGTTACAAAGATCAAGATGCATGAAACACTGTTACGAATACACAGCAGGGTACACATTACATTTGCATGTTTTATTTTATTTTATTTTTTTTTTTTTTATTTCACTCAACTCGTGGTTCATGACCAATTGGCACGCAAAGTGCGAGAGAGGGGTGATAGCCAACCACGGCAAGAAAAGAAAAGAAAGGAATATAGAAAAAGAGAAGAAAGAAGGATAGACAAGAATCCAGCAATGAGATCCTATCGTACTACATTATGCGATCGGAGTGCATTTTTAAAGCTGGAAAGACATTTTGATGTCTTAACATGCTGGGGAAGTTGCAGCCAAAGGCTGTAGGACAAAAACAGAGGATAGTTGGTAAATGCGGCTGAATTAGCACAGGGAAGTGAGAGACTATTACGAGTGGACCGGGACAGAGAAAACCAATTGAATACGGAGAGATGAATGGGAATTTTACCTAGGCGAATTCTGTGGATCAAAACGCAAAGCTGCTGTTTGCGATTATCTTGCAGTGGCTGAGTATTGCTGATACAATAGAGCTCAAGACTAGGAAATAAACGCTGCTTGTTAAACAATATTTTAAGAAGAGATTTATGTTGGATTTCAAGTTTGTTCACAAGATGTTGACTTAGACTACACCAAGACTGACATGCATACTGGAAAATAGGTAATAGATACGAGCGATAAAACATAGAACGGCATGTATTTGGCAAATGAGAACGATGAGGATATAGTATACCGAGAACACTACTAGTTTTCTTGCAAATATAGTCTACATGAGGAGCCCATGTTAGACAGTCGTCAATAATTATACCAAGGTGCTTATGTTCATGGACAATTTCTATGGTCGATGAGGTGCCAGGACATGATAAAGACACATTGCAGAACTGATCACTAGCACCGCTACAGAAGAACATCACTTTGGTCTTACTAGTGTTCGGTCTCAGCTTCCAAGTCGACATCCAAGAAATGGTGGAGTTTATCTTTTTCTGGAGGTCATTGACTAGCAATTGCTTGCAACTACTTGAAGCGGAAACTGTGGTGTCATCGGCGAACAGTGAAACATTAGGGACAGACATCGGTAGATCATTGACGTAGACTAAAAAGAATAATGGCCCCAGGATTGACCCCTGTGGCACACCAGAATTAATTGCCTGGGGAGACGAGAGGGTGTTGCCGACGCGTACAGCCTGTAGCCTGTCAGTTAGGTAGCTTTCAAAGAAACAAAGCAGGTTGCCACCAATGCCATAGGCACCCAACTTGGCAATCAGGCCTCTATGCCAAACAGTGTCAAAGGCTTTCGCCAGGTCAAAGAAGCACATGCCAGTATGTTCTTTCAAATGTCGGGACTGCATGATGTTTTGGATTAGGTGGACTAGGTGCAGAGCTGTGGAGTCCCCTCGCCGGAAACCAGACTGCATGGTATGCAAGTACGGGGACAAGTGTCGATATAGCTGATCGTACACAATGCGCTCAAACAGCTTTGAAATACAGCACAGTAGGGAAATGGGTCTGTAGTTCGTTGCATCCGACCGGCAGCCTTTGCGCTTATAAATTGGGACCACTAATGCGTATTTCCATGCGGAGGGAAAGATTCCAGACGACAGAGAGATGTTAAAGAGCAGCGATAACGGATATGCTAGGCTGTCTTGGAGGTGTTTCAGGATTTCGTTTGGTATACCATCGTAACCAGGAGACTTCTTATTGGGGAGACTGCGTATGTATCTGGTTACAGTACGGGATGAAATCGTCAGCGATGTAAACGTTGACTCTACAGGTATTTGGTGGATAGGAGGAACTAACCATTCAGGTCTATCCTTAACGCAGAAGCTGGTAAACTGCTCATTCAGAGCATCCGCGATATCAAGAGGCGCAGTGGCGGAACTTTGGTCAGACCGTGTGATTGCTGTTGGACTAGAGCCCAATGACGATGCTGATTTACGAAGAGTTCTTATAAATGAGTGAAGTGATGGGCGCTGGCTGTCGGTGAGAGAAGTAGTAATGGACTGGATGTATTCTTTATGGGCTACACGTGATAACGTTTTTGCTATATTCCGCTGACGTTTGTACTGCGTTGCATTGGACGGGGTAGGGTATTTTTTATAGATGCTGTAGAGGTCATGCTTTCTCTTAATGCCTGCCCTGAGCACTGGTGTCATCCATGGTGGATCCTGGCGTGAAGGGCGGCTTCGGTTTCTGGTGGTTGACTGGTGATCGCGGTGAGAAGAGCAGACTGAGAGAGACGATTCGAGGACAGACGAGAAGTTAGAAACGGCTGTATCAATATCAAGGCCGCATAAAAGGTCACTCCAGTGAGTTGCGGCAATTTCAGCATTGACGCCTTCCCATTGCGATTGAGTGAGCAAGTGATGGCTGAAGCGAGGCGGTGCAGTGTCAGATGTGGACTCTCGAGACTGTGCTATGTCTTTAGCTATGGAGAGCCTGCCGAGGACGATTAAGTGATCGGAGGCACCCAGGGGGCTCAGGGATTCAATGGATGTGAACCTCTCGGGAATGTTTGTGGCGACTAGGTCCAGGCAGCCACGGGGCCCATTGGATGTAAGATGGGTGGGGAACGTAACAAGTTGAGACAGTGCTATGGAGCGAAAAAGGTTACACAAGGCAGAGCCTGCAGCAGATGTTGAGTCGGAGGCACACCAGCTCTGGCAATGGGCATTAAAATCACCAGTTACAATGGTAGATGATGGAGCAGGTAGCTTAATGAGAGCAGTCCGCAGAGTATCTACAAAATATTGTAGGTCAGCAGCGGGCTGGTTAGGGGGTCTATACAAGCAGGCAAACGACAGTGGTTGGGATGAACCTATGGGAGTAGCTTCAATAGCAATTGCTTCAAAGTTCTGTTGCCGAAATGAGTGAATCTCTCTCACTTTGCTGAAGGCGGTAGTGAGCACCAGGATAGCAACACCCCCATAGCCTCTGAAGGGGTCAGGGTTAGAGGGAGTTTGCGGTCGGTCACGGCGGAATACTGCATAGTTCGGCAAGTGTAAGGTATGGTTGGTGGTGAGCCAAGTTTCGGTGATGCAGATAATGTCAGGCTTCTTGGCATTACAAAGGATGGAGAGTTCACCGAGTTTGTTGTTTATTGAGCGTGCATTTATCACCGCAACAGACACGTGGGAAGAAGATTGAGTAGAATGGTTAGAGGAGCTGGAGTTAGGTTGGAAGGGCTGTGCAAAAACATTTAGTGTAGAGTCCAGGCTCGAGGAAACGGTTGAAGTAGTTGGAGGGTGTGGGTTGAAGGGGAGAGCGTTGGGATTTAGGATGCAAGTACTGCTCATTTACCTACACTGTCAGAGGAGAAGCGCCATTCGCGAACACGTACGGAGGCAGGCCAGAAATCATCACGTTGGATCGTGGTGAAGTGCTCTTCAGGAATCACAACATGGGCATAAGCCAGTCCAAAATAGCGTGTTTCAGCCACGGAGCATTTGATGATGTGAACATCTTTGTTTGCGCACCACTTAGCTATTGCCTCAGCATGGCAGCCGCTGTCTATGTTGCTGACGTGGAGCGCTTTGCACCTTACACGGGAACCACCGCGTAGGAGACCCTGTGTTGACTTCTTTGTCTTGTGGAAGTATGATGTGACTGAACTGTGCGTGTACGGTGTGGGTGTTTGGTCAGCTGGACGTTGGAATGATGGCGGTGGAGTACTACGGTGTGGCAGGCTCATCAGTTGGGCGCTGTAGAGCGGACGAGTGTTTGTGAGCCTCTGTTCAAACTGTACGGGTGCGTTGGGATTCAAATGCTGCTGCTGTGAACGTGGGGCTGGTGCTACGGTGGAATTCAATGTTGTATTACTTACCCATGATTGCCGGTATACTAGACAACATACGCAGGTCTTTCCACTCCATCAGAGTATGTGTTTCTATACAGAATCGCTTAGCCAGGTGAATCCTGTTTTCTAATCCAGCATTTTCACAGAAACTGATGCCATCACTAGGCACAGTGCACACTTGCTAGTACCGTTGAAGCAGGCAGACTAAGGGAAACTGTAGTCTGTAGTATTTGCCAGCACATGAAGTGGCACTGTGATGTCGGCAAATTCTTCTAAAATATATTCTAGGCAAAGGCACTGAGCAGGGTCCACTCACTTCTTCCAGGGTGAGCTTGTAGAAGTCCTGATAGTGGTACACTTCCACGGATGATTCGGGAATTCGAAGAGACAATGCTGCGGAGGCTATGAACCTGTGAAACAGAAAAATTTCAAAAAGCACAGAGAAGTGAGAGTTCTAGCTCTACCTCCGTTGCAGGATCCCTCAACTCAATGTGCTGACTACACGGCCCAACTAATTTAGTATAACAGTAGCAGCAAGGAGAGGAAGCGTGTCGAAGCAGGTTTTCTGAAATCTATCCTTCTCTTACTTTCTAACCCACATACATCGTGACACGGTAGCAGCTGGGTTGTTACATTGTGTGCGGTGAAGTGCTTAAGAGTGAAGTGGAGAAGGTGGCCGGATACGGCAGGTATTGGGATAAGGGAGCTGTGGATATGGGAGGTGTGGATATGGGAGGTGTCTGGGTAAGAGAGGTTCCACTATTAATGCCCTGTCGGTTTGCTGAATACATGTTATCGCCCCGGCATTTTCCATCGATTCAAGTGGCAAGCTCAGTTTCCTGAAATCCATCCCGGCAATGAGTTGGAGGCTGTGACGAAGTAAGCTTATTGAACACCAAGTGTCCCCTGGTCATGGTGCTGATTACCGCTAGCTTGCTCACCTGTCATCCGAGCATCCACCGGACAGTGAAGTATCCACCGTGCTACTAACATACCACCTGTACTGGGAGCTGGTAGCAATGCTTATGGTGGACCTGCAGCAGTGTACACACCGATACACAGCACTGATTGCATTGATACCTTGTGCTCCGGAGCAAAAGCCACACTTTCAAACACCAATAATCCACCCAGAAAGTCAGCACTGCTTATACTACGATGGTCAAATAAACACTGTGATAGACAGTGTAGATATTTGTACTTTGTGACAAATATCTGCGTGAGGCTTATACTCCGGAAAACACGGTGCACAAGACGGCAGTTGCTTGGCAGTGAAGCTTCTAGTCAGTCGGCAAAAAGCGTGAGCTTCAATATTTGGAACAGGCACCGTCTATACAGTCATGCAGCATGCAGTCTCAATGTATCACAGTATTTTACATCACAAATCGGTCAATTCTAGAATTAGTTATTGTTGATGCACAGCTCGATTACACAAATTCCGTCGTTAGAATTGATTTTATCCAATTCCGTCAATTCTGAAGAGAGGGCAGAATTTCTCTAATTCTGGCGCCAGAATTGCTTACTCGGTGTGTTACCGGTCTGGTCATGCATGACTCAAGTCAAGGAAGAGCCTCCCTGGCCGGTGTGTCGCCAAAGCAGGGCTACAACTGCATGTAGTTGCTACTTTTGTCTTCCCGAAAAGCTAATTGCCGCTGTTGAGTTTCCGCTGGGAGCTGATTATTAGACCAGATCAGTTTTGGGTGGTCCTTTCGCACACGCGTTCAGCTTTATCGAAGCCCAATATTGTTGCCGACATGGAGCCTTCGCCGGGATGGACCGGTACGCGAAGCTGGGTCGCCGCGCGCGCGTGCGCGCGCGTGCGCGCGAGGGTGTACATGATATCTTTTTACGACCAATTTTGTTTGTGATATGCCATCATCGGAATAAAATGAGTGTGAATTCCAGTCGTTCGTTTACATGGCCGGAATTCGTACATTTTGGTCATTTGAGAATTACAAAAGCCAGTTCCAGAATTGTGTAAACGTGTAATCGAAAGCGCCCAATCACAGCAATAACTGTGCCCAGGCAGAAAACTACAGTATCAGCAGGTCATGCAAGCCTAGAAAATGGACACGATTGTGCTGCCAGATGATCGCTTTTGTGTGAGTTTTTAAAAGCAATGCAGCTTCATGAGTCCTTCCATCTTCGTGCAAAAGGCTTTACACCCAGGTGTATTGTAGGCCTAGCGTATTTAGCACTCTTGGACTACCAAAAACTCGCTCCAAGTGCATGGTTTTGTCAAACGGAGGACTTGTGGAGTGGCAGAGAAAATCATGACGTTCACCATTTTACTCCTTCACTTGCTTCTGCTCGAAGAAGTAACTGCCGCGTGTTAAAAATGCGAAGAAGACAAAGGAACCATACATTTTCATGCGGTTGCATCTAAGTGTGTGGACATGAGTACATTTCAGCTATAACTTTGCTACAATGTATTCTCTGGATGGATTTTCATTCGGTTTTTCATGTGATTCGTACAGCTTCTGGCTACACGAATCTGCTGATCACTCAAAAATGCACAAAATCGGGATAACATCCCTTTTCACGTGCTCTGGCTCTATTGTATTTTCAAACACACAACGGCTAATTGCTCACCATTCGGCCGGGCGCACGGAGCCACAGCCGACATTCAGATCTCCCATGATCAGGATGTCGTGGCTGCCCATGACGTGCTGGATGTGCTGCACCGCGCCGTCCAGCGCCTGTAGTTCACGAATGGCGGGCCGCGATGTATGCATACCAGTACAGATGAAGCTACCCACTGCAGAGATGCGAGCACAGCAAAGCAGACAGCGACACACACACAGGTCTGCATCCAGGGTTAGCACAGCAAAGCAGACAGTGAAAATTGGACACTAAACTCTGCATCCAGGGTTAGCACATTTTCTTCCTACATCAAACCTGTCTTTGTAGCAACCATTCCAGGTGCACAGGAAAGCAGTATTTAAAAGACAGGAAATCTTTCTGCACAGGTCAGGATGTGCACATGGTAAGGTACATGATATGACAGGCCAGTTTAAATCATTTTTAACCAAAGAAAGGTGATGTCTTAGGCCAGGTGGTCTATTGACACAGGAGGTGGTCCCCATTTTTAAAGAATAGAAATTAGGAACACGCGCTTGCATTATCACCTCCATGGGAGATTCCGTCACCTCAGTTTCCCATGGCATGTCAAACTTCTATGCAGAAAATCCGCAACTGAACCAGTTTGGCCGTGTATACGTGAGTCATTCATACACTCAAACCTCCACTAATGAGGTTTGTTGGAGCAAAACAGCTGTCGGATGGGACTGCAATATCAACACTCTATGCTAGTGATGTTCAACCGGAACGCTATTTTCGACGGTCGGCGTGTAGAGGGCGAGTCTACTGTTTTTGATGTGTTTTCGAGACACGGTTAGCAGTTCGGCTTCTGAGTCCTGACTCCAGACGCAACGATAGACGTGTGAGGTAACCCTAGTTGGAATCTTACCGTTTCGTTCTCCGGCTAAAAAGAGCTTTCTATCGTCGAAACGGTACCAAACCGACGGTATTTTGGGTTTGGGGTACAAGTGCCGTTGATCTAGCGCGTGAACTGTAAAATGCCATGTCTACACACACACAAAAAAGGTGCAGGCCGACCGCCGAAAATAGTGTGAACTGTAAAATGCCATGTCTACACACACACAAAAAAGGTGCAGGCCGACCGCCGAAAATAGTGTGAACTGTAAAATGCCATGTCTACACACACAAAAAACGGTGCAGGCCGACCGTCGAAAATAGCGTGAACTGTAAAATGCCATGTCTACACACACAAAAAAACGGTGCAGGCCGACCGTCGAAAATAGCGTGAACTGTAAAATCATACTAAAATGCCATGTCTACACACACAAAAAACGGTGCAGGCCGACCGTCGAAAATAGCGTGAACGGTAAAATGCTTAACATGTCTAGTATGTGTACAGGTGTGCTACACTAGCAGAGCACACATTTCATCAAACCCAGCCAGGCTACGGGGGTAAATGCTTTCACCACGTGTGTCTCTAGTTATTAGATGCCTGAATACAAACCTTTAAGCAGCGTAATGACAGAGGACCGGGGACTATGCAAGTCACTATTAAAAACTCAAGACGAAGACTGGCTCTCCGCACAAACGCGTACTTCAAAATCATTAGAACAGTTGCATCTACAAGGCCATAGTTCAGCTCAAAATCGTTCTGTGTTCTCCATGAAGAACACAGAACTTGAACTGCATGTCATGTCAAGTACGGCTTGCCTGAAGGGTTTCTCATAACGATGCATTCAAACCCATAGAGGACAAAGAGATTTGTGCTTTACGCAGCATAGCCTAGTTATCCCCCAGGCACACGCATATTAGTGCTAGATCGGTGTAGGTGTGAGTGTGTGTCAGCACTCAGCCCGGCGTCAGTGGGCAGTAATGACCTTTCCTCAACAGTCGGAACGCCACCATCCCCAAGGATCAAGTCCAAGTGATTCCTTGATGGAATAGAGTGGGTCATACAGTGGCGAAAAATCCAAAAAATGAAGAAAAAAGACTGCTGGCAAAGGAGATAAAAAAAATTCACGGTTCACAAGACTCGGCTAGAGGAGGAGGTATTGACGAAGTAAAAGCACAACGGCTGGTAGAAGGTCAATATACATTTGTACAATATTATTTACATAGTGCAAGCTTGTTCTGTACCGGACGTGCAAAACACACACGGGCCACGTTTAAAAGAAGAAAGTCCAGCAACAGTGCATGACGGAGAAAGAAAACAGGAATTGAGAACACTAGAGAAAAGGTGATGCGGCAAAGCTACTTATAGTTCAGTAAAGTAGTACAAACAAACACCTGAAACAACATTCAAATGCCACAATAAGTTTTGAACCATGAGTTCAGCATATCGGTTCTGCCGGCGGTTCCGACAGTTTGTGCAAGCAATACAAAACCAGAACATTCATAATAATAGGCTACACACCGTGCAGTTATCATGTTTACTATAACACACTGGCTATCAGTATATGTTACATTCTGGCTATCACGATCAGTGCTAGCTCATGAGCGAAGCAGGAACTGGAATGAATCTAGATGTAAATACGCGGATCTAGATGTGTTTGGTTTTCAGGGAAAATTGCTGAAATTCAGGAACAGAAGAAGGCAAGCTACAAATATATCATGTGATCAGCGATAACAATGCAAACGCGGCTTGTGCTGAATTGATTTACAGAATGTTCTAAGTTCACATCACGATTTACAGAATGTTCTAAGTTCACATCACGATTTACAGAATGTTCTAAGTTCACATCACGATTTACAGAATGTTCTAAGTTCACATCACGATTTACAGAATGTTCTAAGTTCACATCACGGTTACTGATGCAATACAACAGTAGTGCTGGGTGCCGAAGAACAGAGCACCGGAGAAGAAACAGCCGAGAATGTCACCAATCACAGCATACCAATATACACGGTGACTCAACTGTGCATAGATGCTAGTACATGAAAATAAGAACAGTCTAGGCTACGAGGCTGACCCCTCAGTTCTTCACAGACAGACAGTACTGTAGTAGGTTCTTGACGGCGTTAACACCTATGATCTACAGTATCGTCACTTGATCTACAGTATCGTCACTTGATCTACAGTATCGTCACTTGATCTACAGTATCGTCACTTGATCTACAGTATCGTCACTTGATCTACAGTATCGTCACTTGATCTACAGTATCGTCACTTGATCTACAGTATCGTCACTTGATCTACAGTATCGTCACTTGATCATCTTTATAGTACATGTTTACATACCAGCAGCATGTACCGGTGATGCCGTGAAGTACCTCCCTGCTGTCAGTGCGCTCGTGATGACCGGTTAGCGTTTGATTGTCATGGTCGAGCTCCAGAGAGATGATATCACCTGCTACCCACTGCTGTCCAAGGTTACCACCATTACACTGGTTGTTTCCCGCCGAATTACCATTCCAGCCAAATATCTCCGTCTTAACACTGTGTACAGTATCTAGTCGTGGTACAGTGGCGGAACAAGCGCAGATATACATCCAGCCGTTGTAAGTTGAGTCTATCCTTAGCCTGATACTGCTGGTACCATGGGTAGTAGGGATAGATGATGTGCATACTGATCTATCCACATATCGCCCTGCGTGTCTTACAGTGCGGCCTGCATTGCTGATGGTGATATCTCCATGACAGCGGCTCTGATCAAACACCGGCGGTGCAGGGTGGGTTACTCTAACTTGCATGGGACTGCCCTGCACGTGTCGCTCTCCGTACTGCACCGACACCGTCAACTGACCAGTCTCTTCAGTCAGCTGCTGCTCACACTTTGACTCTAGACAATCTGATGAGACCTGCTGCAGTTCTGCTACAGGCAATTCTGCATGACTGCCATCATGGACGGAAATCTTGAATCGAAGGCGATCAGCACACTCTTCCAATAGTACTGGCAGTGGGGCTCCCTTCAACACAATCCACATATTCGCATTCACAAGTGTATCTTGTGCAGAAACGGTCAATGCATCCGAGAACTGGGTGAAGTCGACCACCTTGCCGATTTCTTCAATCTCCTTGGTTGCATTCTTTGCATTGATACCGTGATAGCTGATGTGACTGTGGACACACGGTTCTGCATCCTTCTCGGTCACATTCTTTCTTTGATCAATAGCACTGTTCAGCCAATGTGCAATCTTGAGGAAATCTGTCTGGTCAGAGCAGGACTTGAATGTTGTCGAAACAGCTTGACCGTGGAACAGACTATCCTGTAACCGACACACCTGAGCTTCAAGCTGCACAAGTTTGCCGTTCTTCTGTCGATCCACCTCATCCAGCAGTGTCTTCTCCCTGGCTTCCAATACCTTCTTCAGCAAATTGAATTGCTCTGTGATCTCCTTTGAGGCAAACTCTGCATCATCATTTACAGTACTAATCTCAGCTTGCACTTTTCCAAGAGCTGAAGAGATCACACCCTCACTATCAGATATACAACTGCTGATGTTGCCCTCCACAGTTTCACGCATTTTCTGTGCTGCTGCTGCTTCAATGGACAACACTTGGTGTTGAGTGTCAGTGTCACTGTGAGCTCCAGTGTCCATGCATTTCTGACATGCCAGTTGATTACACTGAACACAGTATCTGCTCAACACCTGCCTGGGATGAAAAGCACAATAGTGCTGAATAGAACCCCGCTCCGTAGCAGTCTCCTCCTCGCTAACAGACAGAGGTGCAACTTTGTGATTACGAGTAGCTCTATTGCGAGGGTGGGCAGGAGCATGGATTTGACAAAGATTTGCTCCACAGTCTTCACACCTAGCTGTAGCATGTTCATCATCAGCACAATCATCACATATCACCTGTACATTGGTAGCTGATGCTCCCGTCTCATCTCCATGCTGCTTTGGATAGCTATCAGGCAAGTGGATCAAAGGTGAGGCTACTGATGGTATGGGTGTCTTGCTACAGCATTTTGGGCACTTGATGCAGCCATCATGGTGAATGCTCTCCTCTAAACATCCTACACAGACTGAGTGCAAGCAAGACACTAACTTTAAACGTCTGCCTGTACTGCCACAGGACACACAACACACGCGTTCAGAAGACATCACTCACAACTAACTCTACCAGGTACAAGACGATTTCTGCTTCCTCTTCGATGAGCTAACTGGAAAAATTCCGAAAGACATGTCGCAGAAGAGAGAGCATGTGTACACTTAGCACAACTAGTGCTACGCCCCGTGCAACTTCTGCTTTCTATGCTGCTGCTGTGTGGACACTTCTTGCCGGCTGTCACCTTCACTTGGAAAGATGTCAGCTAATGGACAGGAGTGCTGTCAAGTGACATTAATGATGCACTGGGGTAAGCTCAATGCAGTGCAGCCTTGTGTCTTCATGTTCTCAGTACAGTACAGTTCTCTGTACTTCTAAAAAACAGTACTAAAACAGGTCCCATATTCACATAATACCAGTAACGTACCAAACCTGGTCCCGAGTCACTGCATCCATGTTTCCCTCATTTCAGGCCACGAGTTCCAGGTTCGGGACAGTTAGGTTGAAATTTTGAAGTTGGGCATATGGATCGATTTTTGTCGGTAAGCAGAGCACAAACATTGAAGGGATCTGAAATTGTAGTTGTATATTGCCTACTGGGCCTCCCGCTCTTCAGGAAATTTGAATAGCCATGCAATGTTGCTTTTTTGTAGCTAAATCGGGCAATGTTGGTTAGAGATGGAATATCTTTGTTAATTAATCACATTCTCATAGTTACGACTTTGGGATAATGGAGTACAAGCCCTATAGATGGTATGAAACACCTTGGATTGAATAAAGGGTGCTACATGCACCCTAAGAATAGGCGGTATGTGGATACAGTATTTGTTGCCATTTTGAAAACTTCAAACAATATTTGGCACGAAGATGGAGAGTTTGCCCAAGGTTTCATTTGAATATTCGGAAGGGCGTTAGCCAATAGAAGACCTTCTTGTTGGGCGCCAATTATCGTCGAGGGGCTAACTATTAGCCAGCGATATGCCTTCTTCCTGAGACCCTTGGAGGAAGACAACAAAATCTGTCCTCTGTGTGTGATGTACGTCGGACGTACATGGGAGATGTATCGGAAGGGCATATCGTCGGCTAGGAGTAAGCCCCCCCCCCCCCCCCGACGACACCTTTACCATGAGCCTTTTGTGGGGGGGGGGGGGGGCACCAGGCAGCGATATGCCTTCTTCCTCAGACTCTCCTTCGAGCAAGACAACAAAATCTGTCCTCTGTGTGTGATGTACGTCGGACGTACGTGGGAGACGTATCGGAAGGGCATATCGTCGGCTAGGAGTCCCCCCCCCCCCCCCCCCCTGACGACACCTTTACCATGAGCCTTTTGTGTGTGTGTGTGGGGGGGGGGGGGGGAGGCACCAGGCATCTTATCGCTTCAGCAATAAGATGTTGCCCAGAATGGGATTGGAACCCACAAACTTCGATCACGCCGGAAAATAAGAAATAAAGAAAAAGTTGACGGTATACACACCTACACGTGGATACACTCCTCGTACACATGCCACATGCCAATGATGTGCAAGGGTTCTTATTACTTTCACGCTCAAGTACACCAAATACAGACCAGACCTGCACAAAAAATGCCTAGTATGATTGTAGGAGTGCAACCTCTACCTCATACTGACACATTCCTCAATGAGTCATTTAGTTGCGTGGCATTCGCTATACCATGGATGCGGAGAACTCGCCCTCCTGCTGAGTCTCAAGCAAATCGTAAAAAAAATGTTTGAGAAGCACGTTATTTTGAATGAATCCACAAATTCCAAAATAGGAATGAATTATCAACAGGTTGATGCTTGCGCATCTAGCCAGGAGTACTTTCAATAACATTCTCCCTGACAATCACTCAGTGCTACAAGTGATACCAATGTGACAAACTACAGCTAGATTACTCACCGACTGGCGACTGGAACTTCACGGAGAATGGCGGTCGTCTAAACACGGTGTAGTTCTGTATGGGGTACTGGTAGACCTGCTGAACTTTTACAAAGTCAACCCTGCATGGTAATCATCCGGGTACAAATAACAACAACAGTAGTAGTTATAACACCAGCAGCAACAGCAACAACACCAGCAGCAGCAGCAACACCAGCAACATTATCATCATCACTAGCAGCAGCAGCAGCAACAGCAGCAGCAGCAACACCAGCAGCAGCAACACCAGCAGCAGCAGCAGCAGCAGCAGCAGCAGCAGCAGCAGCAGCAGTGGCAGCAGCAGTCACAGTATAATCATTAAACGGACCAGAGCATGCAGAATACACAGCACATCACCAGTAGTATTGAGCATTGAAAGGAGCTGTTCACCGCATTCTGTAAAACAGCCTGGCAAATATAGTGCTGTCAGGTCGGAATAATTATGATGATCGGCTTTTCCGCTGCTCCCCACGCACAGAGCAACAGCTCCTGACATGTTACGGAACGAGAGTTCAGCGATAAGCACTTCCAAGAATGACAACGTGAATGTCTCCTGCTCTTGTGGTAGTTGAGCACTCTCATGTGGGGTAGTGCCTTTGCTGTTTGCATTACGCAGAGCTCACTGACTTGTCAGGTTGAGCACTCTGGCAAGGTTTGTTCGGGCCTGATTGGAAATTTTATTTCATTGCTATCAGGTTCGGCCTCATTTCCTCTGTGCTGCGCTGATGAGTTCACAAAGAACGAAACAGCATGCTGTCCGCAGATTGAGTATGAATGTCTATACAGTCATGTACAAGTCAACGCGCAGCAGCGCACGTGAAGGCGAACCCCATGTGCGCACAGCAGCAACAAAGAGGTGCACCGACAATGTACAGGTCGCAGAGGTCAAAAGGACACCAATAGTATCCATCCGTACCCAGTCCAGGTTGTCTGTGCAGGAACTGATTGGTGACTACATGGTGTTGTTAAGTCAATACTCACCGGTAGATGAATGCATACGCTTGCCGTGTTCCAGAGTCAGGCCCAAGCAACTCACTGGTGATGGAGCGAAATGGCTTGTTACTGGCGTACTGGGATCTCCTGTTCGCAGAATACATGCACACACACACACACACACACACACACACAGACTTGCTCACTGCCAAAACTGATCGCGTCTCCCGGGAGAGGGAGACACAAACACACACACACACACACACACCCACGACCCTGTAAAGGGCATGGACACTTGAGATTCATAGCTACAAAGAATCTGACATGTTAATAAGGAGTTCAGTAGCATGCATATCACATACGCAAACGCAAGCACCCGCACACACACACACATTCGCACGCACGCATACACACACACACAAACACACACACACAAAACACAAAACATGGACGCATACACACCAACACACATGCACACACAGACACATTTTTAACAAAGAAAGATGATACTAGAAGTATCCAGGGTACAGAATACTCATATATACATGGTGGCTCAGCTAGATACCAGTAGACAATTCTATAGGAAAGAATACAACTGGTTTAGGTTACCTCTCTGAACCCCCCTTCGTACTTCGGCACCAGGCAGCACTAATATAGCTACAAAGGAACTTACGCATTGAGGCTGTTGACCAGGGCATCTGGTATACTCGTGTTTAGGACCTCCTGTAAGAGGAAGATTTTCTGCCAGCCAACAATCTGATGCAACAAAGAGAGAGAGAGAGAGAGAGAGAGAGAGAGAGAGAGAGAGAGAGAGAGAGAGAGAGAGAGAGAGAGCGAGAGAGAGAGAGAGAAAGAAAGAGAGAGAGAGAGATAGACACAGAGAGAGAGTGAGAGAGAGAGAGTGAGAGAGAGAGAGAGTGAGAGAGAGAGAGAGATAGAGAGAGATAGAGAGAGAGAGATAGAGAGAAAGAGAGAGAGAGAGAGAGAGAGAGTGAGAGAGGGAGAGAGAGAGAGAGTGGTTGAAAGGAAAGTCCACATATACATGTAGCAGAGGGAAGTCCAGGTTATGAATGACAGTGCTCGGTGGTGGGCTTGAAAGCATAACGTTGCTAGCATTGGAAGTCAGACCACTGGATCAACAAATTGTATTTTCTGTGAGGTTTGGTTTATTGTCGTCTTGACCCTAGAGTACACTCATCTTCTCCTATCTGAAATGATTCTATAACATACAAGTAAACCATTACAAGTTGGAAGCTGTGCTCAGCACACCCAACACCCAAGATGTGATACATCCAAATTTCTTATGTACGCCTAGTCTTCTGGAACTGCATCAGGGCCTCACACGTCTGTAGGACCAGCAACCCATCAACAATTATTTCCAGGCCTCGGCAGGCCCGCGGAACCAGCTACTTAGGCGTTGGCTTTGGGAGTGAGGCCGGGTAAAGGGGAACTCATATTCCTCCGCCAAGTCCTCCCCAAGGTTGCACTTTGTTATGAGTTTTCATCATTGTCCTTGCTTTGTGAAGAACAAAATAACGCTTTGTGTGAAATAGAAGACTTAGCTGGAGGGAAACACAGTAGCACACAGAGAGATGAAGCCAGTTGTAAATCTGATGAAGCCTTTTGAACCTTTACTTCTCACATAAGTCAATGTAATTTGATATCGCTGTGCTTCGTCACATTATCACCATGTACTGATTTGAGAAGTAATCACAGCGCTCAGTTGCCAGAGGACTACAACGCTTGAGTTGTTTTACTTCTCGGCCTTCATTCATTTCCATACAAGGAGCCGCTGTCGCTGCAAGCACCCCGACATTATGAGACATGGCGGCAGAAAATACCCTTTGCCTTCATGTGTTTGTCCTTGGGGTTTCCTAGAAATAATACCTGCAACTTTAAATGCACTACGATGTGCTACAGAAATTTTAAAAAAGGTGTAAAGTCGCACATCCCCTTTACCACTGGATGCACAATTTTTGTTGAGAAAAACAACCAGCTTAGGAAGTTCGGCATGTGCCAGGCCACCACTATGCAGAGCACCATACCTGGATGTCAGATGAAGTGCCTAGCAGCAACAGTGAGGTGGTAAATATCACAAACAAGTGCATGACAGAATTCATAGGTAGAGTTGTATTTGACTGTAAAATTTATAATGATGAAAAATTTACAAACGGTGTGGGCGGACGATGGCTCATTATCTGTATGCATTGCATTATGAATTTATGACCTGACCCAAGTACAGTTCTGCTCCATGAAATCCGATGGAATGAGTCAGTTTTGAGTATTGTACTAGAGAACATGCCAGTGCAGGGGCGTCGGATACGCTACGGTCACTACGCTATAGGGCTTGAAAGTGATGACGTCAAAACGGCCAGGGAGTAGTAAGTTGACATCAGATTTCTATTTTTGGATCCACTAAGGTGTGACTTTGCTATTGCCTAAGTATGTGGGTGCATAGCAACCCACTCATGTCGCATGCAGGTGTGACTTTTATTTCACCACCAGTTGTAACCCTGCCCCCAGTAGCCAAATCAGTCAGTTTCACTGCCTACATCACCATGCTGTGGGTAAGACCGCTTGACCGGATCCATACAAAAACTGGATTCAAGTGGATCCAGTTTTTGAATTTTTGAAATTGTTGCTATGCTGTGACGTAGCACTTTCAAGCCCTATTGACCATATTACTTTTTGCCCCCGGTACTCCGTGAATCAATAAAATACACTGATCTAGGCTCTAAATTTCCAAATTTTCAGCTCAGCAACCCCTCCCCACGAGTAAATTGTACCTCAGATGGCTGACCGTACCACACTAAAATGCCTTCCGACACCCCTGCAGTGTTCTCAGGTCTAGAGTTACACAGCTCGAGGTGTGTACTTTACTCATGACATCAGATTTCAGTCAGCAGCACACACACACACTATACATTAGCGAGTCCCTGGTTGCCAACATACCAATACATGTCTTGTACAGTGCTGCTAAATGAAATACCATCACGGGAGTCAAGTGTGCGCCTTGCACCATTTCCTCAGCCCAGTGTTCGCTAGTCTAGGGCTGCTCGAGGCCCTGCGCATACTTCAGTCATTCCATCGCATTTCATTCAGCAGTATCGTATTATGAACCAGCTGCAGTGGAGCCTCCACACAATGAAGTCAGTGAAGATGCGTGTATCGTTCTTGTACTAGGAAGTAACTGATTTCATGACTTGAGCTTCATGTCTAGGATCAACGTGTGCATGATCGTACATGTCCATGTAATGGCAGACACCCTGCTCCTACTCACCCCGCTATAGATATCGCTGTACATGTCGTACTTGGCCGAGTCGAAGTTCTTCACGTTGAATGAGCCTATCCCTAGCGAGAAGGACCCGGCCGCTAGTCCACAATAACGGCAAAGCAGCAGCAGGATGCCCGCGAGCGCGCTAGAAGAAAGCAGGTTGCGCTCCATTGTCACGAGACGGACGCTATGTCCAAGGTCCGACAATCAATCACGGATTATTTTTCCACCCACATGCACAGCATGCAATGGTTAGTTCTGGGCCATGAAGTAAGTCATAAGTGGCCTGCCCTGAGGACTGAGGAAAGGCTGAATGGTTACCACTCGCTCAAGCCAGGACCAGCCGGACCGGCGTGCGCTTCGGCTCCGGCACTTGCTCAGGGACCCAGCTGGACGCGTGCACGCCCAGTACAGCGACAAGCGTCCAGAGCTAGAGGCGCAGAAACAGTAGTCGGTCGATCCCCTGGCCTTGGCCGCTGATCACATGCGATGAGCAAAAATTAAATGCAGACTGCAGGTATAACCTACACAAGCTACAGAGAGTAACGTGATGCCAAACCATTCATGTAGGTCAACAAGAAACTACTTCAAGTAACAGTTACTACTTTTAGTTCAAGACATGACACACAAGACTCAAGCTAGAGCCTTGAAAAGGAACAAAATAATTTTAATTATTTTTCTTAGCACTAGCGCAAACTTGCGGCAAAGATTATCATTCTGAACGACTGTGTCTGTGATTTCCTAAAAAGCCATCTGTAATCGCAGGATCTAGGAGTAGGACATCCTGCCTGCCCCTGACAGGCTGGCACCGACCCATTATGACTTTATGTATGATGATCATGCTGCCTGCTCGACTACGGACTGGTAGATCTACACACGACTACAGCAGTACAGGTGAAGCTTGTAACTGACAGTCCGTAATAATTTTGTGTAAAATCATGCCCTCTCGATCTCGGATTCATAATCATTAAAATTAATATTATATATTATAACAATAATCCAGTTATAAATAAGATAAATTGTGCACTCATAACAACAGCAAAAATGAAGAAAGTCAAGTTCCATAACGTTTTCTTGTGACTGTCATCAGTGGAACGCCGTCACATAAAAATGTAATAACTAAAACACACACTTATATACATGTAGCTAATATGGTTTCAGGTAGAAATACAGCAGCTAACAAGTACATAAAGCGAAGTTTGCACCTTTGCAATGTGTGAATATAGTGTATATGAGAAAGGTTATACACACGCACCATTACATTCATTCACACAGTATCACATTCATCTGCCACTACCTTTCTCACATACACTATATTCACACATTGCAAAGGTGCAAACTTCGCTTTATGTACTTGTTAGCTGCTGTATTTCTACCTGAAACCATATTAGCTACATGTATATAAGTGTGTGTTTTAGTTATTACATTTTTATGTGACGGCGTTCCACTGATGACAGTCACAAGAAAACGTTATGGAACTTGACTTTCTTCATTTTTGCTGTTGTTATGAGTGCACAAATTATCTTATTTATTGCCATTTTACGACTATTGTCTCCTCGTCGATTGTTTAAATAATCCAGTTACTCATCTAACCAGTGTTCATGCTGCACATGTTGTTACTACGTATCCAGAAAAAAAATATTGACTGAGTACGAGGTCAATATAGGAAATAAAAACCTCGTAAAAGACCGAGGCGAAGCCGAGGTCTTTTACGAGGTTTTTATTTCCTATACTGACCAAGTACGAAGTCAATATTAGATTTATCACGACAAACAGTCCGTATTTCAAATTCCAGAACGACAACCTCATGAATTCCGGTTTTATGATTGCACAACCGTTGCACCACCACCTACTCATGCAGTGACAATGCTGCACTAGGCACCGTTCAACTGCGCAACCTCCAAGCAGTCAAATATAAGCAGTCAATATAGCCCTAAGGAGTGAAATATGCAGGAATATTGGACTGCTTAGGTATGGCAAAAATCTATGTGAGTCAATACTAAGGGAGTGATAATTACTTGTATTATAATTATAACCCAATACTAGTGCAATACTAGTAGCGTAGAATCCCGCGGATAAGCCCATGTGCTTATCTGTTTCACAAGGACATTTCGGTGGGCTTATACGAGAACATGGGCTTATACGCGGGCATGGGCTTATACCATGTATTTTTTTTTTTTTTTTACTAAGTACACAACCTACTCGTCAGAAGGAGAGAAGACAACAGAGTATACAATGACAAAACAGCAGGGAGAGTAGGGGCTGCAAAGCAAGCCTGTGCTGGTGAGGCAAGCTCACAACACCGACCTATGGTCTCGGCGTTAACGTGAGCTTGCGCACCATAGCCTAAAAGAAGGGGGTGATTTAGTGCGATAAAGACAAGAGAAGGTGAGGTAGAATGGATGAGGAGAAAGAGAGAGAGAGAGAGAGAGAGAGAGAGAGAGAGAGAGAGAGAGAGAGAGAGAGAGAGAGAGAGAGAGAGAGAGAGAGAGAGAGAGAGAGAGAGAGAGAGAGAGAGAGAGAGAGAGAGAGAGAGAGAGAGAGAGAGAGAGAGAGAGAGAGAGAGAGAGAGAGAGAGAGAGAGAGAGAGAGAGAGAGAGAGAGAGAGAGAGAGTGAGAGTGAGTGAGAGAGAGAGAGAGAGGGGGGGGTGGGGGTGGAGAGAGAACAAGAAGAGAGAAAAATAGATTCAAAGGCAGGTCAGATGCAGTGAACATCATGCAATGCTTGGGGGGGGGGGGGAGCAGCTTCAGGATGGAAATAGTTCTGAACTGTTAGAGGGAGTCTGTGGCCCAAAGCCACTGGCTTCGGCGAAGATGGTAGTGGACGTTCGCTTTGAAGGATTGTAGGCCCTTAGGAGATGGTGGTTTGGTGAAGAGGGAGGATGGTAGCGCGTTCCAGGTGTTGATGATGTTGTATGGAAAGGCGCGTCTTAGGTAGTTAGGAGCGCCTGGAGGGAGAACATTTTCCAGTTGGAAGGGGTGTGAAGCAGACTGTTGGCATTGTCTCCGGGTTACAGGTGCGGCATGGTGGACGACGAGAGGGGGGACCATGGATCTCAGCAGAGGAGGACCTGATTGGCCCAGTAGCTTGTAGACGAAAGTCAGTGCCGCCACTGTCCGTCGGGCCTCTAGGCTCTGTAGCAAGATGTTGGGTCCCAGGATGTGGAGGGCACGCCTTTGCACTCTGTTAAGGTGTTCAAGGTTAGTGGGAGCAGCTCCCATCCAGATAAGGGGAGCGTACTCGAGCAGGGGCCGGACGAAGCCGTGATACACGGCCAGCATGCCACGGCAGTCCAGAACACGAGCAGCTCTACGTAGGAGGCCAAGACGTGATGTATACGCCGACACCAAGTTATGCTATTAAAAAGTGTCAAGGAAGTGAGAAGTACATTGCTGAAAACCACTGTGCCAACAAAAACAACCGATGGTTGTGCTGAAATGTACGAAAAAAACTACATTGTATGTGCATGTACTACGTACATGTACATGGTATGGCCAAGAGTCCATAATTTATGGACTCTCGGTGTGACCTAGGCCCATGGGCTTGTACAATGAAGCTTTGTGATAATGAAATTGAAGACACCACTGCAGCTGTACTTATGGTTGATAAATATGGTGGTAAAGACACACCTGGCAATATGGCGGTAAACACACGCCTGCCCACACACGCTCTCTAGGCTGCAAAGTTCTGGCACAGAGCTCTCCTTCTCACCACCACCACCATCAGTTCGCGCCTGGCGCCTGGTCGATGCATGGCTGGCGGTATCCGGCATAGCAGGCTGGTACATCAAGTAGCGCATGGCACATACATTGTAGATGATGACCCAGCAACGACATAGCTCGATTGCGACGTACGTTTCGTCCCCGCTGGACTCATCAGCCATGCGCTACTTGATGTACCAGCCTGCTATGCCGGATACCGCCAGCCATGCATCGACCAGGCGCCAGGCGCGAACTGATGGTGGTGGTGGTGAGAAGGAGAGCTCTGTGCCAGAACTTTGCAGCCTAGAGAGCGTGTGTGGGCAGGCGTGTGTTTACCGCCATATTGCCAGGTGTGTCTTTACCACCATATTTATCAAGCTTTGTGATGTTCGAACAAACCCTGGGCTTATGCGCGGGCATGGGCTTATACGCGGGTCCATCCCCGCCGCCTACGCAAAACATGAGCGTGAGAAGCGTCGGCATTATGAGGAGCGTGTTCGCGAGGTGGAGCATGCCACCTTCGTTCCCCTCGTATTCAGTGCCACCGAAGGCCAAGGCAAGGCGGCAACTGCCCTTTACAAGCGGCTCGGATTGATCATCAGCGACAAGAAGAATGAGCCTTACTCCATCACAATGGCATGGATCAGATGCAGGTTGGGGTTCGCCCTTCTTCGCTCGGCCATTATGGCCCTCCGAGGACACCGGTCCCGGAGCAGAGTTGCAGCAGCTCAGCCATCATCGACCGAATTGGTGGCTGCTGAGTGCAATTTTCATTTCTGAACTGTGGCATGTGCCGCGGCGTAGCACTCAAACAAACATGTACGCACTGCACTGGCTGTCTTTAAAGCTTTGTAATTGTTCTTATCAAGTCTTGCTCTAATATGTAGTTTATTTAAATTTTGCCCGTATAAAAAGAGGCTTATACCGTATTATCTCTAATATAAGCACAGTCTCCAATAATAGCACGTCTCCAATAATAGAACACCTTGGGGCGGCATTCAAAAATTACAGTGCTCAGTCTCCATTGCAAGCACACTGTCTATCGGTACCTGGTAAAATGCATGTACCGTATTATCTCTAGAATGCAGTACCGGCGAAAAAAAACCTGAAATGTGTGTGTCTGACATGAATTTGGCATGGCAACATGCCTCTAAAATGAGGTTGAAATAATAATGGAACAGTCTCCAATAAAGGAACGTCTCCATTAATAGCATGGGACGGAGGTACATTGAAAAAATAAAGGACCGTGCTTATACATGTATTATTAGAGATAATACGCGTATACGGTACGCGGGTCCGGGTGGGCTTATCCGCGGGATTCTACGGTAATCTTTGTTGCAGTTTTGCACGATTTGTGTGACACTGAGTTGTCAGACTGAAGTGGATCAAGCCCACCACAAGGTAGTCAAATACTGCGGTATAAAAAGAACCTGCTTCCAAGCAGGACTTTAAAAGTCTCCACCGATTCTAATCACACAATTTTTCTCATATGTGTACATGTTTAGCAGCCTTTGTGTGCCCAGAATGTGAAGTAACAGTGAACTGAAAACTGCTACGCAGCTTGCAAACACACACACACAAACACAAAACAGAATTAACAATCAGAGAGAAATGAGAAAATGAGGACCGATGCCAGAGGGAGGTACTATTCGGCTATATTAACCAGAGAAAACACTTTCAGGAATCTTTTAACGAGGTTGGACGACGAGTGGACGTGAGCTCCTGTGGCAGGGTGTTCAAAAGCTTTGCGGCGGAAACCAATGGTCGGCTGTCGCCAGATGTTCACCGAGTTAGCGGCACAACGTATTTTGCAATTGTCATTGCCACGGGTGTTAGGGGCCGTCCAGGATTACCAATAGTTTTTGCAAAACGAAAAGGTTTAGTATTTTTCAGTACCCACCCACCTACCTTTTCTGCAGGTAAAACAAATTCAAATAAAATAATT